CTTCATCTTTGGCACCGTGCTGCTCTGGTTCTGCCAGAGTAGAAAGCAGTGCCCCCCTCCCGGCAGCCCCGCCGCCGCCATCCCCCACCGGGTCCCGCCGTGTCGCGAGCGGGAGCGAAGCTGCGCTGCGCCGTCGTCTGGCTCGTCCAGCCTGGACAAAGACTGCGTGAGTGCACTGAACTACGAGGAGTATCTGGCACAGCAGCAGCAGCTCCTTCTCAACCAGGGAGGCGCTGCCATCTCGGCCAAGATCTATCCCAAAATCTACACTGACATTCACACGCACACACACTCCCACGTGGACGGGAAAGTTCATCAGCATCAACACATTCATTTCCAGTGTTAGCGGAGCAGAAAAGGAATTTAAAAGCAACGCTTCATGGTGGGACGTTGTCAGGGGGCGGGGGGAGGACAACCCCAAATTGGCCAGTCATAAGACAACATGATGACATCATAACATTTGGTGCTGTCACTTTTATTTTGAATTTTTTTGTGTGTGTCCAAGTTGTCAGACTCTCACGCCACTAAAGAGCCGCCAGTCCTTGCCTGTGCACTTAATTTAAAAAAGGACGAGGAGTTGTGGTTGGTGGGAGTGTGAATGCAGCTGTTGCAGCCTCATGAAAAAGGTCTCGTTTGCAACGAAACGGCCGGAGCTCCCGTTTCGCCTTCTGGTTCCTCAGCTGTTCAAAATGGTACTGGAGGTGTACAAAAGGGCTTGACACGTCCTACTCAGGTTGTCCTTTTGTCAAAGACGCTTTGTGTTTTAGAATGCTGACCACTATCTTATTTTTAATCACATGAAGTAGCCAAAATATTAGGTACACCAGCACAATCTAAAAATTCCAAATAAAAATTTCTGTCTGCGAGGGTAATAATGCTCAGTTGATTGACACTGTCAGAGAAACATTCAATTCACAGTTGAACGCTTCCCAGTCTATTTCAATGTAGAGTACAAGTAACAAATGTCACTTGGTATGTCATGTCGAGATGAACATTAGAAATCACAAAAATAATTTGTGGATTAAAAAAAAACTAAAATGTCTTTTGGTCCTCATGTAAGGCCATAACGCCATAAATAATTCCAAATCTAGCCCTCATGAAAACACTTTGTTTCAAGTGTGACTTGGCAGGCTAATGTGTGACCTGGTCAACTTTGGCACGTGGTGCTGACCCTAAAGGTCAAGTTCGATTGCTGAGTGGTGTCAATCAATACTGCCAAGGCAAAAAAATAAAAAAATAAGTTAACATTGAAAAATAATACATTTATTGTGACATAATGTGTACCTAGTGAAGTGTCTGGCAAGTGTACCATCGCTGTCCATGACTGCAAGGGATAAGCGGAGTATGTTTCAGTGTTACATGATGGGGGGGGGGGGTCTAGCCAAATTGCTACCGTTAGTTTGAGTTTGAGTTCTCAACCAATAACAGTTTGTGAAGCTCCGTTCATTTTGAATCAAACTGAGTCATGAATACTTAATTTATTTTGATTTTTTTTTTTTTATGTATCAAAAGAAGTTTATTTTTCTGAGTAAGGCATTTTGCATTTCTGTCGTGTAATTATAAGTATTTTTTGTGTTGTTGTGTTTAGTATATTTGAAATGCAGTTTATTCACATGTAGTTGATTTAGTTAATGGTGTATGCAAATGGTTCTATTTTTGACAATCCCAAATGTTCTCTTATGAAATCATCTCATTTGGTGGTTTGATTAAATGAACGAAACGTGTTATCGTGTATACGTGTGTGTTTCATGTGTGATAGAGTATGTTTGTGTTCTCATGTTCATGTGTGTTCAGCACAGTGTTGAGCAAGCTACTAGAAACATATAGTGAGCTCAGGTAGTTATTCTACATTAAAGTCAAGTTTACGAACGCTGTATGACCAAACCCAGAAAACAGGTGAGCCGTGATGGTCGTTACCTGAGCCCTTACTGTGATGTTACGTCAAAGTCTCAATACTTTTGGCCAACCCTGATGTCATTTTCAGTGAACAGCAAGTGGGGTGCAAAACAAAATGGCTGTCCCCTGACATGGATAAAACCAGATTGACGTCATGCTTAATTTACACACGTGCGCGTAAACACGCACACACTTCCAAAACATTGCCATACCAATTACAAATATACAGACAAAATATTTAATAGCTACAATGTAAATAATAATAATAATAATCAAATACATTCATGTTTTTTATCTTTAGAAACCACTCAGAATGTCAGTTATCTGTTAGCATGTGCGTGTGTGTATCTTTTGATGGGTGACGAGGAGGGCAGCCAACAACACACACTTTTCTTTTTCCTCCCTTCCTTTTTTTTTTCCAGTCGACTGATTGGCCCAGCATAGAGAGCGCGAGAGGACCATTTCAGCGACTCTAATGTTCCCTTTGGAGCTAAGATTTCCTTTCAGCGTTTTGGAAGCACATTGTCCCGCTGTGGGAGTGAAGTGAGCAGAATTTGCGATGACTCCAAGAAGAAGAAGGGCCGCATTGTAGACCTGCTCGGCTTAGCTTTTGTCCGGAGGGTTTGCGCGATGACTACGAGGACGGTGATGAGGAGGGTTCGCCTCCCCCGGCAACAGGTGTATTCAAAGGTTATTTAATAATTGACTTTTGAATACATGTATGTAAATAGTTGGGTCTCCGATACAGTGCGACTTTAATTGACAGCCGACCTCATCAAATTGTATTGTTTCTTTCACGAACTATTTGGTATTTAATTCTGTCATTGTGGTCTTAAAGTTGATGTGTCTCATTGCGCTATTTTAGAAACCTCCCTTGGGACTACGGCTGAAAACTAGCATTTATGCTAAGTCCGGCACATTTACAGTTTATTCTTGTGTTGATTAATGTGCACTGTCCCAATGAAATAAATACAAATAAAATAAAAATAAATAATAATGAAAAGAGATGTAAAGCGCTCGCTTTAGAAACGTGCATGTGCCCTTGTCCCAGCAGTTTTTGCGGCATGATGAGGGCTGGCAAAATTGCACCAGAGGACAAGAAGTAGGCTGGAAAAACATTCCTGACCCTTGGGATATTTATTATTGTTTTACAAAAGAATCCAACATATATATTAAGACACCCAGATTCAGTTTAAAAAATGATTACGTCTCTGTTAAGTAGAACATAATTAAAGTATTTTACACGAAGGCATTGGAAAAACCTTAAATTGGAAACGAATGTAAGCACATACTGCCTTCTAGTGCGTTGTTCTGTAAATTACAAGCAGACGAAAACGCATTCAACAGAAAAAAATGTAGGTTGATCTAAAGTTGATTCAATATATTTTATCCATACATTTATTGAATCCAACACAAATATGATTGTTCGGATTTGTTTGTTTTTAACGTGTTCATCATGTCTGTAAATATTAGACCAACCTCGTATTTTTCTATTGGAATTACGGTTCGGTTGCTTTTCATTGTTAATCATATTTTTTACGGGATATAAAATACGGAATTATATTAACTTTTAATTAATGTCCATAAATGTAAGACAACTTAGTGTATTTGTTTAACTTGAATTACATTAACCGAAATAAATGCAGTTTGAATTTAATGTAAGTCATCTTTGTGATCTATAAATCAAGCAATATACTATGTTGCGTAAAACAAGGGGTCGTATCCTACCCTTCTCTACTTGAGATACACACCAAATTGCCTTTTGTTGGTTTGATGTTGCTAATTTGGCCTTTAAACGTAAGCAACTGGAAGATTTTGCGCTTTGGCGAGCTTTTACATGTTACTTTTTAATACTCTTGACCATGGGCGTCATTAGGCCTATTTTAGGGAGGCTTCAGCCACCCTAAAAATGTCTTTAGCCCCCCTAAATAATTTCATTGCATTATTTAAAAAAAAGTATTATTTATTTTTCCTGTACTTTTGCTAATATATTGCATCAAATTCAATGTAATGTGGCCATTTTAAATTAGATTTCGATAACCTGCCATTATTGTAATGTTAAATCTCCCAGGTTTCCTGAACGCAACAGGTTTTGCGTTTGCATTTGACGTGTCTGTCACCATCGCCACATCAAATGCTAACGCAACAACTGACAGTTCATTGCCGAAAGTCAGGTTGAGTCGACAGCATGGATATTCGACAGTTTTTTAGAAAGGTAAATTAAGTATTCAATGCATAAAGTTTACAGAACAGTTGTGAGACCGGCTATGATGTACGGTCTCGAGACACTAGCAATTGGCAAAAGACAGGAGGCAGAGTTAGAGGTGGCTGAGTTAAAGATGCTGAGATTCTCCTTAGGAGTGACAAGGATGGACAGGATCAGAAATGAGGTCATCAGAGGGACAACTCAGACAGGAAAGTTTGGAGAAAAAGTGAGAGAGGCCAGACTGAGATGGTTTGGACATGTACAGAGGAGGGACAGGGGATACATTGGTAGGGAAATGTTAGAGATGGAGCTACCAGGTAGGAGACAGAGAGGAAGGCCAAAGAGGAGATTCATGGATGCCGTGAGGGAAGACATGCAGGTAGTTGGAGTCAGAGTAGAGGATGCAGAGAACAGGGAAAGATGGAAATTAATGACTCGCTGTGGCAACCCCTGAAAAGGGACAAGCCAAAAGGAGAAGAAGAAGAAGATCTAGTCCAGTTAAAGTCCAGGGGAGGAAGCCCCATCATAGTAAAGAGGATACTAATGTGATGTGTGTAGTTCTTCATAGCCTCTTCATTTTGCTCTCAAAGTGCACGGAATTGATGGATTTTTAACAGAATGTAGAAAAAAATTCTCCCGGGGGGGCATGCCCCCGGACCCCCCTAAAGGGGCTGTGTTCCCCTTGGGGCTAAGCCCCCCTTGTTCTTGAAACCTAGTGACGCCCCTGCTCTTGACAAAAGCTACCGCCGTACCAAATAAAATTCACTCGTAATCCTGCTGACTCAAACCAAATCGTGCCACTTAAAAATGATCCTTCTTGAGTCGGATCATACTCCCATCTAGCCATCGGATTTACAGGACACATCGAATCATCTTTTAATGGAGAGAGGCACATCCCTTACTGTTGAATTGAATTTTATTAACATTACAGCATTTTTCCCACTCATTCGTAATCTAGAGAAAATACAAGTTTTTCAAATCGAGATGCTTTTCAAAAAGTTTTAACAAAAATACAAACACAACAACACACATTTTCATCACTCCTCAGTGTTTCCCCCAATCAAAACAAAGGCCCATTTTGCTTTTGAGAAAACAGCACACCACCGAGCAAAATGTCAGAAAAAAGTGGAATGTACATGTTAATTTTGTACCTTCTGCCACAAGTTGAAGGCAGTTTGATGAACAAAAATACAGTTTGAGGAATTACAGAATTTCCCTTGGCACACCTGATTTTGCCTGAGACAACAAAGTGGCAGTGCAAATTTCAACATACTCTAATGCAGTATATTGCAAAAACATTTTACACTGTGGCGGCCATTTGCAGCCCACTGGTCAGCAATACAAACAAACAAATAAGGTCAAAAGTGCAGCAGGTGAGGAATATCTTTTTCTATTTTTACATTTCAATAATGTTGTCCTGTCGTTAATTTAAGCCTCATGCATGAAGAACACAAATTTTCTGTCTTGTACGATAATTTCTTCTGGGTTCACAAAAATCAGCACACTTTGTACAAGTTAATCCTCTTTATTACTATTTTAAAGTATTGTAAAAACATTGACAAAATAACAAAATGTACCGAAACAAGAGAATGAAAGTGATGAGACCAAAAGGGGACAGACAACGAAATATGTACAAGTGCAAGTCAATCAACCCTTCTGGACGTTGCTGATGAGCTCATCACAGAGTTTGGTCAGCTCTTCAGCCTCCTTCACCTATGACAATAAATAGAAGCATTTTTGAGTCACTTGCAAGGAAGTTCTAAAAATAGCTCATCAGTGATCGGACATTGTGATTTCCTTGGAATGTTGTAGAAGTGATCATTTGAAAATCAACACTTGCAGAGATGTTTCGAGATAAAAGGTGCATATTGATATTGCATTTCCTACCATGTTCAATCTATGTGAGAAATCAACAACATGATCATTGTCTTCATATTGATGAATATTAATTATTAATAAACGTAAAGGTGGAGGGATGCTTCAGTGTTGGAGGACATTGAATTGAATATTTGGAATTGTAAATAAGTAAAAAAGTAATCAACGCATTTGGCCCAGACTGTATATTTTATTCAAATCTGTTAGAGTGCATTCACCTTCTGGTCCAGGTTCTTCTCCAGCGAGTGCACCTTCAACTGCTCGCGCCGCAGCTGGACTTGCAGCGCCGACACCTCTGCCTTGTTCTTGGAGCGCACCTCAGCGATTTCCTCGTTGGCCCTATTGGACAGGACAAGCGTTGAGGTGAGCGAGGAAAGCTTCATGTAGATTTACTCTTAACTACACAAGCGTTTTTTTCTTTTTTTTTTTTTTTTACTGGCTAATTTTTTCCTCGGCGTGGGCTTTAAGGGTCTGGTAGCGCTTCTCGTCCTTCTTGATCCTCTCCAGGTAGTCCTGAGCACAAGCCTTCAGGGTTTCCTCATTCTGCAAGGGGAAATGCCATCGGTTCACTGTCACATTGCACCAACGCCTTGAATGTTATTCAACCGAGGAAGCGGTTCGGACCTTTTTGTAACCCTCGATGATTTCCTTGTACTTCTCCAGTCGTCTAAAAAGGTCCGAGAGTGATCTCTCCATGGCGTTGAGATCACTGGAGACCTGCTCCTTTTCCAGCAGGACCTCGTTCAGCTTGGCCAGCGAAGCCTCGCGCTCCTTCTCTTGGTCCGCTGAACAACAGCCGTAGAGTCTTACATCTTAGCGACAATGCTTGATAATATGGCAATTTATTTTAAAACTCACCCATCATTTTTGCAATGATGAGCTCAAATTCTGCAATTATTTTCCTGTTGGAAAAGGGGAAATGTCAGTTTATATTTATAAACAGCGCTATGTCATGAAAAGGATCCTGCCCCCCCCCTGACCTCCTACCTCATTTCCTGACCATCGCCTTGTAACTGGTTGTACTTTGTGCACATTTGGTCCTCTTTTGTCTTGGCCTGTAAAAAAAGACAACAATTTACTACACTGACAACAGCACTCTTGCTAGGTACTATAATATACACATTCATACATACACATTTTATTGCTGGAGTCGTCGTACAGATGACATAAATCCGTTTCCAATTAGGAGCAGAACAACACAAAGCCAACGTATACGCGATTGAAACATATTCTATTCCTCTTTTTTTTCCATATCGTCTCAAAAACACACCAGCCACTTGCTTCGACAAGCAATTTACTGACTCAGGCATACACTGTTATTTATGCCAAAAGTACTGCGTGCCAACACAACAGACAATTTGCTGCCTCCCTTGTGAGACAACCATCAATCAACGATAGGCTGGACACGTTATAAAGACACGAGGTGACAGCCATTCACAAAGCAGCAGAAGAAAAGGAGAAGTACAGTAAAGATGAGACTTAAACACACTCAATTAAGAAAGTTACAAAAACTAAAATAATATCGTTAATTTTTTTTTTTTTTTTCCCGGGAAGACACTGCAGCATGCCTTTTCACAGGTGGACATGGACCACAGTAGACTTGAAGGCTGCTTCAAATAATCTATGGTTCTATCAAACAAAAGTGGCCCCTACACACATGCTATGAGCCCATCATTCTTCTATGCAAGTTTTAATAAATGAATGCTTTAACTTGAGAATAATCTTATTCTTATTGGAACTCTTACAGTACGTTTCTTGTAAAAGAAAGTAAGTCAGTTGAATTTATAGAACACATGCGCGCCGTGGCGCACGGTCAGGATGGTACCACCTCTGCCTCAATTTGAGCCAGGATAAAGATAAGAAAACCCCAATTATGATTGGTAAAAGATGGTGATGCTCCTTTCGGTTATTGGTTTTAGTTCGATTCAAAAACAAAGTGCAGGTCATACCTCAGCCTGGATTTTGGCAATGGCTGCATCCATGTCTTTCTGACTATACTTGAGCACGTCAATGATGTCTTCTGTGCTTGCAGGCTGCGAGAAAGCTGGGATGAGGCTCTCGAGTATTTGGGGAGTCTGCAAGACAGGTCAACAAAACACGGTAAGCATTTGATTTCATGTCCCCAATCACCACTTCCCAATGGAAAGGGAAAGAATCCACTTTCAATTTTCTTTAAATGTTCTCAACCCCTGTTCGTCAGCATTACAAAAACATTTTCCCGCGCTTCTTTGAGTTGCTGCCACCATTGGCTTGGCATCAGAAGCCCTGCGGTGGCTGCCACCACCCCCCAACTATCTTTATGATTCATTATCAGATGTTTGTGCCCATCCTTATTCCAGTACAACCAACAATTGGTAACAGTCAGTGGATGGACTAAACAAGCGGTGACTCACAGGAGCTGCGGTAGAATCTTCAGCCATCGGTAGAGTTTCAAACCTAAATTGGACAGAACAAAATACCACCGTTGAGATTTTAAAACACGACATTATGTGCTGTCCGGGAGGTGCAAGGCAACATTCATACCGTGAAACGAGAGAAGTCGTGCAAGGAGCCTGTGGTGGAAACCCAGGACCTCCTCCACACTTTTTCGGGCTCTCCCTCAGCAGGGGGTCGAACTTGAGGTACAAGGACTGTTTGCGCAACGCAGACTCCTTGAACTTATTGCATCCAAAAAAAAAAAAAAAAAAAAAAAAAAATCCAATATTTAAACAAATAAAACGTTTGAGATTGTGTATTATTGCTCACAGAAATACCAAACCACTCACACTGCTTGAGCCAAACTGTTCAAGGTAGTCGATTTGCCCCTCAAAGTTGTTGGACATGACTAAGGAGAAATTAAAACAAATAAATGAGCCAGCTTGAACGAGAAAAAAAGGTTTAGTAAGACCAACGTGAAAATAGAATGAAACTACATTTGACAGGAGGTGGTTGTGATCCAAAAAAAAAAAAAAAAAAAACGAAAAAAGAATCAAAGTAACAAAATTCCTGCACACACATACACAAACACACAATGAGACACCAAAAGTTGATTTGTCCAAACTTGAGAAAGAACTCCTTCCATATAATTCCATAACTTCTGGCATTTTTGTTCTTGAATTTCAATTGTTTTCTCAGAATATTATACATACAGTATATACTGTATCTTCTCAAGTGGGGCCCTCCTTACTCAATCATCCCAATGAATTTCAAATCATGGTAAAAATACTGTAATTAAAAAAAAAAAAAAGCTCAATGGAAAGTAGCTACATACAGTACCAAGTTGAAATAAAAGATGATAAAACAATCTGACCATTAAGAATCTACTTACACTCAGTGCCAGGCACAAACACTTCAGTGAAGTTTGACAGGCTAGTCTGTGGTTGTTGTTCGGCTAAATTGTCTGCAGCCTTCTCAGCTTTGGGGGGTGAACCCTGCTCATTGACACAAGCAGACTCCTCAACTTTCTGTGAGTAAAAGAAAGAAAATGTAATTATAGAAGAAATAACACAGTATCGTCCTTCATATGACTGGCTCGTACTGTAGCTCCCATTAAACTATGGAAGAGAACCATTTCCCAAACGATTCAAGTTCAATTGTTTTTTTCTTAATACCTCAAACTAGTAGAGACAAAAATCCTTTGTTTTTTTTTAAAAAAAGATTCTTAGCCAAAAAAAAAATTATGATTGTTGCGATTACAATAAATCCCTGCTATTCAGAGTCGATAGGAACCAAGACACACTTTGACTTCTTCCGTCAGGAGAGATCTCGTCCCTACGAGACAGGAGCTAATCAAATATTCATTTGTAAAAGCAAACCACAACTAGGCAATGGTTCACGGTACCTGCTCTTGTAGCACTTCAGCGGTGGCTTCCACTGTGGACGCGCTCTCATCGGCCCTACAAACGAGAAAGGCGCATATTTTGTTTTGCAAGACAAAACTCAAAGGGAGATTCCTTTCGGTGTTGGCATACTGAGCAGGTGTCTCGTGTGTAGAGTTGTGCTCGGGGCTGGTGTGCAGACTGCTCTTGGGAGAGTTGCTGATGTTGGACTTTGTGCCAAAGGGGTTAAAGTTGGGGTCATCCAACTTTACAAAGTCAAAAGAGTACAAGGCTTTGGGGGCACTCGCATCTGCATCATCACTGGCCGACGACTTGTCCGCGTCACCTGCCGGCGCCTTGGTGTTGGACAAAGACTTTCCCTCTTTGGGCTTGTGGCCAGGTGGTTTTCTGCCAATCCTCTTGGGCAGGGGTTTCTGTTTGACCTCACCACCATCCAAGTTGAACTCCAGCTTGATCGGACCTGCCTTGGTGGGCGGGGCCGCCAACGGGGTCTCCGAATCAACCCCTTGAGCGTACGATGGAGTAGGGGTCGCGGTGGCGATGAGGTTCACGTCAACTTGTACAGGGAGCCCCTGGAGCACCTCTTCATCTGCAGGCTTGATCGGGGCTTTCTCTGCGGGGGTGTTACTGTCTGGTGCCTTCCTCGACAGGACAGGGGAATTCTGGATTTTGGAGCCCCCGGTTATAAAAGGATCCACTGTGTCACAACTGTCAAAATCAAAGTTGTAAGTTCCTTTTGCCAAAAGGGGCGCATCTTCTCCAAAATCCTGTGAGGGTTTGTTTTCGTCGCCTCTGGGGGGCATCTCAGCGGGGACATGGTCAGGCGTTTCGCTACGCGACTCTTGCTCCACAGCTGGAACCTTCAGCACTGTGACCACGCTGCTGTCTGCAGAGCTGACCTCGGCAGAGACGTTGACGAGGGAGTTCTCCACAGAGCGGGTGAATGGAAGAGTCTCATCCAATGCCAAATCCGACTTGTTGGTGGGCTCCTCACACTGACTGTCTGGTTGTTTGGGAGAAGGGTTCTCAACCACAGGCCTCGGGGGGGAGAGAACCATCTTATTAGAACTCCCGAAAGGGTTTATGTTGTCCAGATTGTCAAAGTCCAACTGATAACCTCCTTTGCTTTGGATTGGCATATCATCATCAGGATAGGAAGACAGTTCTGTGACAAAATAAAGAAAATGATCCTCTATATGATCTGCTTTTGTATTTGGAAATCAACCAAACCATTTTGAAAAAAAAAAAAACATCCCCCCCCCAAAAAACTTCAACTCAGTGAGCACCCAAATTAAATCAACAAATGTGACTACCACAGGGCATCACTCAAAATGTGCCACTTTAACCTAAGTTTCTGCATTAAGACACCACAATAGAGCTCCGAAGCCCTATCGGCGAGAAAAGTAGGACTAGTACTCAAATTAGGTAGGGTGCTATCAGTAAAGCTGCACCCATTTGATAAGAAACATTTGTAAGTTTGTCCAAAATGAGAACGAGTGAGAGCCAGATCGTTCGCTTGAGAAGATGAAAAAAAGGCTAAAAATGATCATTTTTAAAGAATAACAAGACTATTTTTCCACTAGACATTGCTTTGGGGGCATCTGAGGGGGGTTAAAATCATACATTGTTTTTTGTTGTTTTTGTCACATGGTATGTTGTTACGTCATGTGGACCTGATGTGGATTGTTTTCAGCATTTTTGGCCACAACATCCGTCAAAGAAGAATCTGTGCTTGGTGGTTGCGCCTTCTTGGCGGCACGCGTGAACCGGCACTGATATTGATCGGGAGGAATGTCGGCGCCATTTGACTGTCGCTACTGGACAGTTCCGGGGCGCTTGTGTCTTGCGCCTGAAGTAGGCAGCATTTTCACAGGAGCGTCAGCGCGGAGCGCCGATGCGTATGTGGAACTGGGAGTCGCGGCTTGGAATTGTAGTGGATTTACATGGGACAGGAGAAGAGAGCCAACCTCTTTTTCGTTAATGGATGCTACAGCTTCTTGTTGCTTTCAAGTTTAGCTTGTAGCAGACGTGTGCACATTGCAGCATGACGTCTTTGATCCACTGGTGAAAAGGATACTTTGATTCGCTCCTCTTTCATCTATAACTGCTTCAGACAACAAAGTGTATGCAGGAAAGTGGTTAAGATTGCACTATTGTCTGTGTCTAATGTGTTGTCTTGTATTATTTTGTCATTTTATGTTAACTTTTCTTTTGATGGCGGCGCGGGCACCCGCAGCGGCTCCTCTTGTTGTATGTTGTGAGAGGGAAGAAATTTCATCTGTGCTGTACAGCACATTTGACAAAGTTGTACTTGACTTGAATACAACACAACTGCAAATAGTTGACTTCTTAACCAACTAACACAGGATAGTATTTGAAAAGCCCTCTGATGGAAAAAGACTACCGGTACCTTGTGCGGGACCATCTTCTTCCTTTGACGTCTCTTGTGGCATAGTGCTGTAAGGAAGAGGATATTTTTTTCTTTTAAATGGTTCATTACGCCATAGACGCATTGTACCTAAGTGACTGCACATACTTTGTTGTGTTCAAATTCAGGGACTCGATAGCTTTTGTGCACTCATCCACACTTGTCATTTTAAGCAACTTTGCAGGAGATAGAATCCTTTTAGTAACTGGATCCCTTTGCGGAGTCTGGAAACAAACCTAAACAGCAAACAAAGGTTTAGTGATAAGTAGAAAGTAGAAAAAAAAACAAAAAACAAAGAGAAGACATTGTGATGAGGTGATTGGGTACCTTCACGCCCTTCTGCATTGTCTTGCTGGGGAGGTTCTCCGTCTGCCGCAGGATGGACGGCCTCCCGGTCGGCTGGTCTAGCTCGAAAATGTCCCCACTTGTGCTGCTGTGCTTTCCTCTGGGGCAGACGCCGCGGTTCTCATCATTCACCTCAACAGAGCTCATCCTGTGTACACAGAGGAACACGGTTATCCACAACTCACTGGCAGCTCTCAAAAACACACCGAGGGGAGGGGGTCTTTGGTAAAGCTGCACCCAGTTGATAAGAAAAATGTCGAAGGTGGTACCAAAATAAGGATGAGTGAAAGCCAAAGGTTCTCCTTGAGAAGTTGAGATTTTGTTGTCTGAACTCCACTTTTCTGAATAAAATGGCACCGAGAAAGGGCTAAAAATTTGACTATTGGCACAAGAATGGGGGCCCAAAATAACACGTTTTAGTGTGCACATTATCACTGCGTTTAAAATTGTATGCAGTACTTAAAAAAATAGTTTGGAGCAGCCCGCCCCTATGTGGCCAATATTATTATATTATACACTAGAAAAAGATGCCCTTAAGAAATTGTACATCACGTGACATTCTCACGAGTTGAACCCTGTCAAATTTTCACACAGCATTGTCACCGACAAAACAAAACAACGTCATTTGGTCATCATTTGAGACCGAAATATACGTCTTTGTCACACTACGAAATTTGGACACCCATGTCGTTTCAATTTATTGTGGTCTACGCACGATGAAACGCAAGGAAAGGCCGAGTGCTGGATTGTACATGAAAAGAGAGTCAAACGTCAAAAAGCTAATTTATGTGATCCTTGAACCTTTTTAACGCTCACGTTCGTTTGTGCACACATTTTAGAATAACGGTACGGTAACAGTAATAATGGTAGACAACTTTCGTGAAACTGTCCCGATAAATTTGCCAAACAATGATATCAAACAGTAATTAGTTAATAAAAACAATAACTCACAAACCTGTTCTGGTAGGTAGCTCAGATCAAATCCCCCAAAGGAAAATCCAGAATGTAAAAAGACAAGAATGGCGTGCCTTCGTAAACCGTTTGCGTTGCTGGTGAGGGAAGACGGTTTGGATTTTAAACGCCTTGGAACGGACCAGTAAGGGCCTTTGGAACATTCGAAGGAGCCAATCACGTGAAACCCGGAAATGACACTTCTACGACTGTCCCCTATGAAATATAACAATGTCCAAATGAAAGCTGTTAAGACTCTGGCTATGTGCTCCTTATTTGAAATTTATGTTTGAAAATCCCCTGGCTTTTTTTTTTTTAATGTTTGTAATATATGCATGTATTAATAACGTGTTCGTTTTGTTTTCTGTTTACTGAGAATTGTATCCTGACCTGTTCAATAAAGATTGTTTGAAAAAAAAACAAATAAATTTACATTCGAACTTTTTTCTTAATTATTATTTTATTATTAAACCTCACCAATTTCGAATGTACCAGTTATAAATTTTAAAAATCCAATGTGGCCACTGAGTACAATCCAGAGGGTGGCAGTACGCAAAGACACCGAGACCAGCTGCCGCTAAATCATCAACGAAGAAAAACAGCAGGAAGAACAGGCGAGCTGCCCGCCAAATTTGCTTGTAAACAAAGTCGGCCCCGTTTTAGTCCAACAAACTATGACGAATTTTGACTTTTCCACATAACACCGAATTGTTTTAGCCCGTCAACAATGAATTTAGTAGGAAAAGGTAATACATATTAACCCCTTAAAGGTAGGATGGACTGAATAGACAGTGCCAGTTAAGCGACAGACGTTATTTAAATGCCACTACGATCTTAGGAATAGAGTTTTTCTGGCACGTGAATTGTCACTTCTGTGTGTCGTCGTAAAGATTACTTAATTATGTCAAATGCATGTAACTCGTTAAGTTTTATCGTGAACGTTATACACAATAAATTCATGTGCTTCATTTCCAGGAGGTGGCGATTCCAACCAGTTTGCTGGCAGGTAACGAATCGCACGAGACGCGGCACTAAACCATAGCCTTATTCCCTGTCACAGTCAAATCAAACATATTGTCAACCACATAATCGATAGCCATAAAAACATATCATGGTCATTATTATTTACAAATTTCACGTCCAGGCAGTGACAAAGAGGTTACACAGTTTAAAGCAAACATCAGGATGCAAATATACAGTACAGTTACACCAATATAAGCACAAGAAAAACACATTTACCAAAAAAAAAAAAAAAATCACACAAAAGGCAACTGCAACAAATGTTACATTGTGGTCTTCCAGTGCTGACAGCGATTCAATCAAAGTTTTCGTCCGAGTACGACCTCTTACCAAGGGCAGCGGACTAACCACAGATGGAGATCAGAGCTTGTGTCTCAAAGTCACCTCACCAAACACCATACGTCTGCTTGCCAAACCGGAACCGCGGACCTTCACCTATGACCATGTTGCTGACATGGACACGTCACAGGTTTGGGGGAATTTTTGTGATGTTACTGTTCCCATACTGGACTATCTTTGTGTCGTGAACCTTGTGCGGTATTCTTCAACAGGACTCTGTTTTCTCCAGCGTGGCCAAGAATATTGTGGAGTCATGTATGAATGGATACAATGGAACCATTTTTGCCTAGTAAGTTGATGAAATTGTCAAAAGGACAGATTACACTGTGATTCATCATTGATGTGTTTAAAGGAGACTTTTTTGTTTAAAACAGTGCACAGGTGTCTTTGAAAGATGTCTGTCACATTCTTTTGTCAAAAATACCCGAGGCATAAAACAAAAAAAAAATCCTGCATGCTTCAAACTACATTTATTGTACCGTTGATATTAGCCCCATTAAAGTGGATTCACTTCACATAATGAGCGCATGGACAAATAATCATTAAACTCAAACAACCCACTAATTCAACAACTTCACTGTTCAAGTCAAGTCAACTTAATCGTCAAATGTGCTCTATGTGCAACATACAGCACAGATGAAATTTCTTTCCTCTCAACCACAGGAGAGAGAGGAGCCGCTGCGGGTACCCGCGCCGCCATCGACAGAACAGTTGCCAAAATATCACCACATAACATAAAACACAGACAGTCATTCAATCTTAACCACTTTTTCTGCATACACTGCGAATCCCAGTTCCACATACGCATCTGCGCTCTGCGCTGACGCTCCTTTCTTCTCATCGTCGGTATCGACGTAACAAACAACACCATGTGACAAAACAAAACACAAAAAGAACAAAAAAAGAACTAAAAAAAAAGCAAGGCTCTTGAAGAGCACTTGCCGATGACTGCTAAATTGGGTGCCATCTTGGAGGGAAAAAAGGGGGGGAGGAGATGTGCCACTTACAGTATGAGATGTCTAACACTGTTTGCTAATGCCAATCTGTACCTCCCATTAAATTCATTGCAGCTCTGCTTACCAATTGGCTCTGACATGATAGCACTGGTGTTAGAGCCTTGGGGGATGTGGCGTTTCTGTATGTTAGTGGCTCTGCATGATCGTATTTCAGACAATGTAGTCCGGCTGCCACTTGAAAGTGGTTCTAGGTCTTTGCACAGCTTCAATGATCAGGTCACAGGCAATTATGTGAATAGAGCCAAAGGGTTCGCTCACTGGCACATTTTCAGAAATAGGCAGATAACTAAGCAAGAAGTACATTATGGCTGACACTCCAGAGAGTCCCAATTGTTTGACCTAATTTGCTCATTAACTATTCTATTTCTTCTGCAGCGGGCAAACAGGATCAGGAAAAACGTTCACAATGCTCGGTGAGAATTCAGGTTCAATTCAGTGTACTGTTGGTGTTGTACACATGGTAATAAAACCAGTATATTCCACTACTAGGGCCCTCTGAGTTGGACAACTTTACGGATGAATTGCGGGGTGTTATTCCTCGCAGTTTTGAGTACCTGTTCTTTCTCATCAACAGAGAAATGGTAAGGTCGAGCGGCGCCATTTCATCACCGTAAACAGAAAGTCCAGACCTTGGCTTGTTACATGTTTCTTCGATCATTTTCCCTTTCAGTCTCAGTCCAAAAGTTTTCTCTGTAAATGTTCATTCATCGAGATTTACAATGAACAAATCTTTGACCTCCTGGACACGGCCTCCGCCAGCCTCTTTGTCAGAGAGAACATCAAGAAGGGTGTGTTTGTGGAGGGGGCGTTGGAGAGGTTTGTCAGCTCTGCTGCTGAAGCATACCAGGTAGGAATTTGTAATCAGAGGCAAACGAACCTCATCATTGCCTGTTTTTGTGTAAGGTTATTATGGTCCGTGACTTGTAGGTGTTGTCTCATGGCTGGCGTAATCGCAGAGTGGCCTCCACTTCCATGAACCGCGAGTCTTCTAGGTCTCATGCTGTGTTCACCATGACTCTGGAGTCCAAGGAATCCATCAATGAGGTGGTGAACATTCGAATGTCTCAGCTGAACCTGGTTGACCTGGCTGGCTCAGAGAGGCAGAAAGACACACACACCGAAGGCTCCAGGCTCAAGGTAACAATTCTTGTTTGTTTCTAGAATTGATTATTTGATCAATTGTCTCTTGGATTCATTTAATAATTGGATTAAAAATATTTTTTTCATTGAATTTTACAGCAAAATCATTTTTACCCATTATGGTTTATTAGCTTATTATCCTTTTTAATGATTAAAGAAAACATTTTAGCAACATATTACTGGTTCACCCGATGATTTCAAATGAAACACATTTTCAGACTCTGATGTACGTTGCGGTATCAAATGGCCTACAGGCCGGCAGCGGCCCACGTCTCAGTGATAGGGAGCCGCTATCTTAATCGAATGCTGTTTTGTGGTCCGCTTCTATTACAGGAGGCCAGCAGCATCAATCGCTCCCTCATGTGCCTTGGTCAGGTGATCATGGCTTTGGTCGATGTGTCCAATGGGAAGAATCGCCACATTTGCTATCGAGACTCCAAATTAACCTTCCTGTTGCGGGTGAGTCGCTTAAGAAGCAAAATACAGTTTAGGAACAATTATTGTAGCTGCGTCTTTTCAAAAATAGGAAGATGTATGGAAATATGTACAATGGGTCTTTGGTTTTTGACAGAATTCATTTGCTTCGGCGGTGACATCATCCAAATTTGTACATAAATTAAAATGGGCTGCAGACTGTCACTAAGCTACACTCACATCGTGGTAAAGTCATAATTACGCCAAATGTTTGTATGGAATACATTTTTAGGCCCTAAAAACAAAGCAAACAAATAACGGAGTGTGCCTTCTTGTGCCATGTGACCTCATGTTTAGTTCTACTTGCACAGACATTACATGCCATCTCTAACATGTAAAATGTTGTATATCTGAGCTCTCATCATCATGACATGACATAGCGTTCAAGACTTTCTGACATTTCAGGACTCTCTTGGAGGAAATGCAAAGACTTACATCATAGCCAATGTTCACCCTGGATCAAAATGTTTTGGAGAAACATTATCAACGTTACAATTTGCCCAGAGAGCAAAGCTGATCAAGAACAAGGTATGGCTGTTATTTAAAAAAAAAAAAAAAAAAAGACCATGTTGTCGGGTTATTTTACAATTACTTTATAGCACTTTGTAGTATATTGTTATGATTTTTACAGGCCATTGTCAACGAGGACACCCAAGGAAATGTAAGACAGCTGCAGGCTGAGGTGAAGAAGCTGAAGGAGCAGCTTATGCAGGCTATCTCGTCTCACCAAGTGGATTATGGGAAAGATGTAGCACCTGGAGGACAACTCAACTCAAGTAATACTCACAGCACACTTGTGCACAATGCACTTCATAATTTTCTGGTGTTTGTGTCAAAATATTAAATGTTCTTGTCTCACCAGAGCTCTACGTGGATGCTAAACATGGCTCCTTGTACAAAACCAAGTTTATGGCTGCTGTTCGTTTGTGGAAGAAACGAGAGGAAGAGAAGAAGGTATTGCACATTTTCTTTTTTTTTTCTTTTTTAAAGCTTCATGTTGTTTAAGGGATACTGTTTTGACTGGGGTAGGATTACACAATCAACACAACCAATTTTCATGGAGCTTTGTGAAGGGGTTACACATGCATCACATATGGGTGAGGTTTTGGATAAAGGTGGGGATGTATGAAATTTTTGTGCTCTTTGTTGTTTTGAGAGAGTTTGGGGATTTTGTCCTAGAAATAAAAGTTTTAAGCCACTAAAGAGTCAACAAAACTGCCCGCAGTGTCCGCAATCAAAAATTACAATGGTCTCTACTTTTTGTTAAAAAACAAACAAAAAAAAAAAAACTCAATGAAAAACGTCCAATATCAGAACCGCAAACCTGGAACCTGCGATGGAGGGGGAAGTTTACTGTGTTTGTGTGATTGCATGCAGGTTCTGCTTAAGAAGACATCTCAGCTGGAGGAGGCCTGGACTCAGAAGGACAAGTTCATCCACTCCAGTCGCCTGATCATCAAATTCCGAGAGGATCATATTAGTCGCCTGGAGAAAAAACTCAAGGCAGAATGTGGCACAGTTGCAGACGTGGAGTCGCAGGCTCTCATTGACCAGCTAAAAGAAGAGATTAGTATTTTACGATACCAGGTAAAACTTTATCTCAAACGTAACTACTACATTCCACTCCATAGTCACATCTACCCACACTACATCCTTCTGTACATTTGCCCTCAAGATTGAACATCACCCCAAGATGACTCGCTATGCAGCAGAGAACTACAGCCTCAGAGAGGAGAATCGTCAGCTCCGTTCCCTTGAGTCAGTGAAGAAAGCCGACGAGGATGAAGCACAAGTTGCACAAGAGCTTGAAGAAGATTTCCAGAGGGCCATGGAGGTGGATAGGAACATGGAAAGTAAGTTGTAAACATAAAATATAGATCAGAGCCTATTTCAATGTTTGTGACAAATCTCTCGCCGTGCCACAGCTCCAGCCGGTGCTTCAACCTCCTTGGCGACGGATGCTCTTGGTCCACCCGCAGTGGAGAAGCTGAAAGCTCAGCTGCTTCAAAAACAGTCAGATCTTACAGCAGTTCTACAGGCCTTTGAGGAGTACAAGGAAATCACTAAGTAAGATGTAAATTTTATTATACAAACTAAAGCACTCTCTGTGTCTATGATGATAAAAGCTAAGCGTTTTGTGAATAATGCCTTCACATAGGACGGAAACCGTAGTGAACGTTAGTTCATCAACATTAATCGTTATTACGTGGATGTCGGGACTGAGGCGTGCAGCAAATAATAAAAACGTGCAAATAATTAATGCCACCGCTCCTCACCGTACTCCTCGACCCCATCCCCCCCAATTGTTTTGCAATGGCTTATATTCATAGTTTAAACCCTAAATATTCCTCAAAATATGATGGCTAACAATTTAGCATAATCTTAAACTCATTACGTTACCCTTAATAGTTATTGTTATTCATTTTGACAATCACGAAAGAAATTTGGGAGGCAGGTTCTTGAGCGACTCCCTTCCCAATAAATATGCCACCTATCGCTAAAAAACGTGAATGTAGACTTTTTTTATATGTGTTTCTTTTTTCTTTTTTTTTTTTCCTCAGGAAGCAGATGTCTCAGTTAGAGTCAGACAAACGATACCTTGACAAGTCCAACAGGCATTTGGAAAACATTTTGGAAGCCACAAATGCCTACAAAAAGCAAGAAGTCTCTGAATTGAACAGAATTCATGTTGAAACTCTCAAGGTGAGGTGTGGATCGTTTAAGTCATTTTATAGGAGACCAAAAAAAAGGGGAATACATCAGTAGTATTTTCTTCTGCCACAATAATTTTTCTTATATATCGCCTTCTTCAAACACCAGATTCTCACTACACCCACCAAAGCATACAACCTGCGCTCCCGTCTCGTACCAATGTCCAGCCCAGAACATTTGAACAGCAGCATCAACGATCAAAATGACATTTTGGCCGAGCCATCCCCTTCACACACAACCGAGATGGCTCTGACTGAAGAACTGCGTCAAGTGCAGGTAATCAAAATTGTTGCGTGGACTAGTGTGGTTATTTTGAAATTCACCACGTTGTTTTATGTTTTCTCAGGAGCAAGCGAGTCAGGTTCGGGCCCAGCTGGGGGAGGAGGAACTGAAGAACAGCAAGCTGATGCAGCAAATTGCAAAACTAGAGGAGCAGATCCACGTCATGTCACTGGAGTCTGGACAAAAGGAAGAGGTGAGGCATTTCCTCAGTTTTGGGTAAGACATGATTTTTATCCAATTTGGCCGGATGACAATTTTTATTGGTCCTATTTCCATTTATACTGCAGAGACGCATATCCAGTATGGCTGTTTTGCATTGATAAAACACATGTGCAGACACTCAAACTTGATGTACTTATAACAGTCCTCAAATATTTTATTCTTTCTGGAGGGCGTAACAAAAAATAATGAAGAAGCACTGACCTGTAAGCAACACAGAGCAGCATGGACCTGTATCAGATTTGGACGTTATGATCACCTCGAGCAAAAATGTTGTGGTTTCACAGGACAGTATTGCAATTACAACTCTAAAATATATTATTTTGAAATGTTTTGGTAAATGACTTTTTCTCAATGGAATGTAATCAATTGTATTTTGAAACAACATATGGAGTATTTGGTATATTAGTAAGCATGAAAGCAAAATAGACAATTGAATGTTTTTGAATGAAATCAAAATGTGGTACAATAATAATAAATATCGGATCTACATTTGGAAGACGCCTCGGTCTAATCTTCCTCATATCTGTTTCCATTCGTGTTTATCCATTTCCGCTGCAACAACACATCCCAACTGTGCGACTTGAGAGTAAATATTCATAATTGTGTCACTTCAACCAGTTTTAATATTGGCTTACTTTTGTCCTGATGCAGCAACTTTCAACTGAGCGCACTAACAAGAACAGAGATCATCTCAAACTACAGGAGATGATCAACAGCCTGCAACAGAAACATCAGTGCGAACAGGAGACTGCAGAAGGTGCCGTTTCGGCCAAGTGTTTTCAAAACATTTTCGAAATGGTGAATGAAGGTGTGCTTTCCGACTTTCAGTATTAAAAAGTGAGATCCGAGATCTACGTCTGGTGCTGCAGTCATCCGACAAGGAACTGGCCATCGTGAAGGAGGAGCTCAGAGACAAGCAAAGTGAGCAGCAGAGACAGGCGAGCCAGCTCTCCAGCAGTCTGATCGCCACGCAGCTCCAGCTTGACAAAGTCCAGTAAGGAGCCATCGGTGTGGATGTGTTGTCCGTTACTGTTGCCCAATAACCTCCGGTTGAGCAATGTTGTCATGTCAGGCTGGAATGGGAGCAGCTTCTGGAGCAGCACCACACTCTGCAGGATTCTTTCGACCAGCTGCAAGCCGAGGCAAAGTTTGATGCGGATCATGCGAGACAGCAGATGCAGGACAGGCAGCAGGAGATCAGCCAACTGAGAGCTCAGATTGCCGTCAGTGAACTTGTAAACTGCAACCATGTCTTCCCGACTCAAGCTGTTATATAAGTTACATCATGCAGTTGTTTTTTTTTTTGTTTGTTTGTTTGTTTTTTTTTGGGGGGGGTTGCAATAGGAGTTAAACAACTCTCTGGAAACGGAGCAAGAGCACACTCGCACCCTGACCTACCAGTTAAGAGAGAGCAGAGAAAATACATCGAAGTGAGTTCTGGCTGTTGTCTTGATTCGAACGTTATTTGGAAAAACCTTCAAATGTTTTCTGGTATACTTTCAGAGAACTTAGTGAAACGGCTGAGGAGAACACACGGCTCAGCAAGCAAGTCTTGGACATGACCGTGCAAATCCAACAGCAGGTCAGCCCATTACTGTATTGTGATGTATCGAGAACACCCCCCCCTCCCCCACCCAATACTGTATTGTGATGTATCAAGAACACCCCCCCACCCAATTCTTCCAAGTTGTTCTAATTTCAAAACAGTTTTATCTAAAACAGAAAATAATGTAAATTTTTTTTTTTTACCGGCACAACTGAATCCATCATATATTCAGAACTGTGCAGACAATGTTTTAAGTTATATTTTACCGTCATTAACTGTTAGAATAGTACAAAGAGAGTAATTTCGTCATAAAACTCGAAGTAGAACGACTCAAAGCTGCTTGAGTGAATAGGGAGTTTGCAAGACAACACTGCCACCTAGTGGCGCTCAGGGTTATTGCTGGAATTGGTATTGCATTTACTTACGTATTTTTTTAATATAATTGATATTTTATTTTAATTCACCACTCCGACTGCTCATTATATTGTATTGTCAACCTTTCGTATGTCGTAAGTTCCACAAAAGCGTTCACAAAAAAGCCAAAGACAAGGCAAAACACAACATCCATTTTGATACGCAATTTGCTGAAGATGTTTAGATTCTGAGTTGTCTTTGTATACTGTATTACCTTTGACCGTGTCATTTTCATTTCAAAGGTCTCCAAACTTGATCACCGAGAGCAAAATCTCTGTACTGCCAATGAAACCATAAAAGGCCTGGAGCAGAAGGTTGAACAGGACAAAGTAGGCCCCAGTGAATTATTGTCCTTTTCTACATGCTTCCAGCTCATCTACTGCCTGTCTAAATCTCTTTTCTTTTTTTGTCAGGATGTCGTCCTTCATCTGATCAATCAAACCCGAGACCTCCGCAGTGAGCTCAATCACAAAGAACAGACCATTGCACATCTGTCAGGAGACATCAGCGATATCACTGTACTTTAAACCATACTCTGTTTTCACCTTTCATGTCTACAATTATGTCAGAGTATTGCTTTGATCACAGCTAGTTAGTGGGTTATGCAAAAAAGGGCCGGGTTTGATACCCTACTGTACCATTGCGTTTGTCATATATGAAGCAAGAAGTTGTTTGCATTGAATTTCCAGTTTCTGAAAACATATTTGAGCACTGCAACCAAAATTTCCCCAAGTTTTGTTTCCAAGGTGGCGACGTATACCTGATTTTTATGTAGTCCATCACTAACCTTGGCTTACGCAGCTTTTAAGTCCTAATACTGGAGACATTTATTTGACAAACACTTTTAGCTCATACAGTTGTGATAAAACAATCCCCCCCCCAAAAAATTAGTATGACGGTAATCGAGCCTGACCACATATTATTATGCAACTACATTCATTGCTCAGAGACAGATTTTTGGTTTGATCCCACGCAAGTGGAATTTTTAAATTTTGAGGGGAAGAAATGAACACGAGTATTGACACAACCTTGATTTCCCTTCCGTTACTTACGATGCTCAAAATTTAATGCATCGCGTCTTGATATTGCTCCTCCAGGCCAAGTACAATGCTGCCTGCTTGGAACGAAAAGGCGTCGAAGAGCAAAACACCAAGATGCAAGCTGAAATCACAGACCTAAAAGAAGCCCTGGAAAGGAGTTGTGCATCAAGCAAAATAGAGGTTAGTGTGACTGTATTTCACATCACTGCCATCATGTGTAACAGATAATTTAAAAAAACAACAACAACAACAAAAAACGTGTGTGTGTGTGTGTGTGTGTGTGTGTGTGTGTGTCAGGTTGAAGTACTGCAGGACGAGGTCATTTACGCAAACGAGGAGGTTGAAAGACTTACAAAGGTTTTAGATGAGCACAACAACCTCCTCGAAGCTGCTCAAGAGCAAGCTGCTCAGAAGGACATTGTGATCCAGAATCTCCAGCAGAAGGTAATTGATCCCCATGGTGGCAGGCATTTAGCCTAACCATCAAATTTCACTTCATAATTCAGATACACATCAAACAAAACTGTGTGTGGCCCAGGTCCAACAGCAGCACGAAGCTGTGGAAAAAACAATAAGAAACGGAGCTCTCAAAAATGTCGAGTCAACTTGCACTCCTAAAGCAATAGCGAAGGTAACAGTACTTTTTTTAATTCTCTCTATATGGACATGGCTTAATAGTTTGTTGTGACTATTTTCTGCTCGTTCAAGACCCCCTGCACACCAGGAAGCTTCAGCCGGGACTTAACCCAGGTCCTCGAGAGTCAGGAGAGGGAACTGGAGAATCGCCGGTCCTCCATGATGACCATGGAGATTCTCTTGGCAGAGCTCAATGCTGAGAGAGCTGCCAAGAATGAGGAGATTCAACGGCTCAAAGTATGTACAGTAGAGACGTAACGATTAATCAACAACCAAATCATTATCACATTGATAATACAGTACTGTAAACGTATTCTTCTTGCAAAGGTTTGAACTTTGAGTGTGTTTAAATAAGAGAGAAATGTGTAAAAATGTTAATGGTGAAGTTTACAGCCTCAACACATATCGTATCATGTATCATATTTAAAAAAAAAAGTTTCCTACTTCGTGGATTTCACCTATTGCGGGTTATTTTTGGAATGTAAACCCCGCGAGAAACGCTGGAGTGAAAGATTCTTCACAAATAGGTTTTAAGCTTTTTAATGCTGCACCTTGTTGATGTGTACTAATTCCGATTCTGATTCTAATTTAGGCAACGACATTTTAACACGCACTGTGGAGTAACTCATGTAGACAGACTATAACAATACTCACAGGCATATACAGTATTCTTTATCATCTGTGGAAAACTGACTATTACTAAAGCCCATGAGGAGTTTTATAAGTGCCATAATAGTGTTATTTTCCTCATTATGAATCACCGTACAAAGATTTTTGGAGGGTTTTTCTAGAAGGGTGGAACGGATTATGGCACTTTCATTTATTTCAGTGGGGAAGGATGATTTGAGTGCAAGTTTTTGAAACCGCATGAACGTGGTCACTTCAGAAATTAGACTCGTATCTCAAGGCACCACTGTAGTTTTTTTTGTTTTGCCTGCAAGAATTCTAATGTGTTTTCTTTGCCCTCAGACCCAGCTGACTGAGAAAGAGGTGGTCCGCATGGAGATTCAGGGCTTGCTTGACCAGTTTTATAATAAAAAGCCCCAGGGTGGAACTACCAACAGGTTGGGTTGAATCAGCCATACAGCACACAGTGGCAGAGGGACATGAATGATGCTTTATTTTCCAACTTTCAGTGAGGAGCTCATTGAAGGCATCAAACAGTCTCTTCTGAAGGAGCTGCAAGAGGAACGAGAAGAGAAGGTTTGCATTTTTTGTTCTTCTTGATGTGAAAGTTTTTAGATGTCTTCACTGTTGCTGTGTTCGTCTTGTACAGGAAAAAGTGATACAAAGGCTCTCTGACACTCAAAAAAAGTAAGCCCTCAACGGTGTACATGTACATACATGTACAATGCTAATTCACTCCTCGATATGTGCACAAGATTGAACAAGTTTATTCCATCTGTTGCTTAGAATGCAGACCCAGGAGTCCATGTTGGCCCAGTCTCAGACTTGTGTCCAGGAGCTGACCACAGAACTGAGAAATCGCTGTCTAGAACTGAGAGAGTTGAGCCACAGGGTTCAGGATGAGGACAGACTCGTCAAGGTCAGAGCCCCTCAGTGATTTATGTATTTATTTAGCTCAAAATGATATGAATATTATTTAGCACATTGCTTTGATAAGTGAAAGTGACTCCTCTTCCAGGAGAATGAGCTTCTCCGTAAACAGAATGTTCAGCTGTCTGAGGAGAATGGAAAACTGGTGGGGCACAAGAACCACAAACAGAGGATTGAATATTTGGTCAAGTTAAAGAAGGACAACACCAGACTGCAGGCGGTGAGTATCATTTGTGTCTGGAATGTTAAACATTAATGTTAACATTAATGGGTTTTATTTTGGGTATATTTTTCAGGAAAATGAAAAGCTTCGATCAGCGATGAGCATTATGCAAGACAACAGTGGACCTTTGCTGTGATGCTTTTTATACTTGCCCCTGTAAAAAAAAATCAGGGGTCAAGTGTCTTTACAGTCACTTGAAGTGATTTTTTTAAAAATCATTTTTGTATGTTTTTGTTTACAAGTGAAAAATAGAACAAAACAAAAAAACTATTTTAGAGCAAATGGAGCTACTGCCCTTTCTTTTTCACAAGTCCTAAAATTATCATAAGCTATGCTAATATACAGTACTGGCTAGTGAAAAGTGTGTGGTTTGACTTCAGAAATGTGGAAAAATAACTTCATAAAAAAACATGACTTTGCAGCTAGCAAACGGGCCGTGTGTTTTTTCTAACTGCAACAGAAAAAAAAGAGAAAAGCGTGCACTTCAACCTTCGAGTAGCTTCTAAAATAAAGTTTCCAAACAAACAGCTAAATATGTTGCGACGTGCTTTTCCGCGGAGAAATTGCGAACAGTAGCTGCCATTTTTAATTGGCATCCACCCAGTTCGCCACCTCGCGGCTACTTGGAGTCAAAGCCACAGTAACCAATTGCACCTGACAACTTGGGACAGACAACTTAACAGGCTGCACCATGGCGGAGCGATTCACGGCCGAGCAAATTTCTAATTGGTTCACCTCTGGGTCCGCGTTTGCCAACATTAAGCTCACAGAAGAAGCTGTCGAAAATAAATTGTCTGGGACGTCGAAAGAGACGAGGTAGGATCATTTTTCAGCATCGAAAAGGTGAACTTGAGCAGGGCTAGCTTGGTTAGCCTTTACACCCGCACGTGTGCTCGTTTCGGTTTATCAGTATTGTGTGACACGTTTTATGGAACAAACACAAGAAAAATAAAAAAGACATATGAATCGCAGACACTGCTTTTTTCTGTCACGTTGTCGAGCTAAGAGCTGGTGGCAAACTCGTTGCCCCTCCTAACATGGGGCCGTAACCGGAGCAGCACGTTTGGGCGCCAACTTAAAAGTAAAAGAAAGTCACTACACAAAAATACACGACAAGCCACGAATATGTGCATGTTTTAGAGTACAATTTATGATGTAAATGAAGTTTTATAAATGATTTTCAAATCAGGTTTATTGAATCTTTGGAGTGGCACAGATAGATCTTTTGCCACTGATGTACCGGTACATGGTGATTACTTTTTTTGTCATGATTATTTTTCTGTTTATTTAGTATAAATATATACAACCAACTTGAATCAACGTATATATATTTGAAATGAAGTGCAGTCTGTATTTTCTACTTTGAAGACATAAATTACAAATTAATGGTGGATTCATTGACAACCGTGTCCTCTCGGTGTGTTACATGCCTCCGTTGACCTCATGGGAACTGGACAGTAATATGGAAGTTCCCATTCCCTTTTTGCCGTGAGCCAGTTGGTGTACCGCATGACTCTGTCCACATATCCAGAAACAGTTGGGATCTCTTCCCTTAGCTTTTCATCACTACTGCTTGCTTTGACAATGTTATGCTCCAATTTATTGCGGCTTGTCCAAAACCCCGTTTTTGGGAACTGCTTCACCTTCCCTGAGGGGCGGTGCTCTTCATCACACCTTTGGTCGACGTCTCTCAGGACCAGCTTGAAGACAGAGACTAGCTCCCATGGCATCACTTTGCTGGCTGCAAGCACCTCACGAAACCTGTGGAATCGCACAACCAACAAGTCGTTATTGAAATTTCAAGTTCTTTCAACGTTATCATTAAGTCGTACTTTAAGTTGACAGGTTTGAAGAGTAGGTTTGCTATTGTCCTGCTAAATATGTCATTATATCTTTTCCACATTAAAGTTTGATTTGTATTGGAAAAAATGCTAATGTGAGTGCAGTGTAAACACACGAATGAGATGTACAATACCATGTGAATGACATTTGAACTGCTCAGAAGTCACGCAGCCATGCAAATGAATTTTTTACGGATAATTTTCAACTGTACAAAAGCTCAATGAGTACTGGATTAAAATTTGGGTGGAAACTTTTTTTTTTTAATAATAATAAATTGGCTGGAACATTGTTGACCAACGATTCAGATTTTGAATCGCAGCAAAACTAGTGGCCAACTGTTGGCCACTCATGAAAAACGTTTGCTAGACTCGGCCCAACGCGTGACAGTTCAGTTGATTTCCGTTGCCTCGCTCGTTACGCAGTGGGCCTTATGAATGTAAATGTAAAAAGTCAATTGGATGTTGGCTTTAATTTAGGGGTCACCACCATGTTCGTCAAACATTGCCATAGATATAATTGCTCAGAGAAATGCTATTGAATCTGCTCTCATGATGTCATTAAGGCAATTCTTCACCTTCACCTCATGTTCACATGACCTGACAGTGTGACATTAACACGCAGTGGCTTTGTTGGCAGCGTACTCTGCCTTCCTTCTTGCTCTTTGGCCTCTGCGCGCTTCCCTGCTGTCAGGTTTCATTTTGATGGCGAAGCAGCTATGTGCTGCTGATGGCATGCTAATGTGAGGATCTGAGAAGATGGTATGGTGTCTACAAAACACCTGGAGAGCACTGCTGCAGCGTGGACAGGCGGGATGCCAGCGCACAGTAGTTCCAGTTGGTCTAGCTCTGTTGTGGGGATGAGGGTCCTCCATCTGGGGTTGCTCTGAAAACATGGGTGGTCCACGGTGCTGTGGACAAGCCTGTGCTCCAGGTCCAGCATCCTAGCCGTGCACTCGAGCTCCTGCACATGCCATAGAAGCTCTCGGATCAACTCGTGCTGTGGTCGGTCCCCAGGGCATCTCAGAGATGAGTTTTCAGCCTGTGTGGATGTGTCATGGGTCCATTTCGGCCAGCTGAAGAGTGGCATGGCAAGGACAGCCCCGAAGCACTGAAGAATATGAAAGTATTAGCCTGTCATATATTTTGTAAAAACCTCAGTATTCTACAGTTTAGACATCCTTGAATGTCAATCCTTTCAAAGTAGGGCTGTGAAAATTCATCAGCAACAAATCAATGATTAAATTAATCGACAACTATATTAATAATCCAGTGATATAGAAGAGCCAATGTTTTTTACACTTGACTGAACCAACTTAAAATTGTCCAAATCCTCACGATCTCTGATTTCTGTAGTCTTTCATGAAGGCAGACTGATTATTATTTTGTTTAATAAAAATCAGACATAAGCGAACATACGCCTATACGTTGGAAAACAGAGTAGTAAACGAATCATTTTCGGAATGTTTGCTAAGTATGTCGGTCCCCCTCGGATAATATTGTTCTTTATTTGATTTTTATCACTAATCAATGCAAAATAGAAAATTGGAAATGGTTCTGTAATAGATTTCAATGCAAAATCAAATTGTATCAGATTAATTGATGGAATAATAATCCATCGAATAGTCGAATCTAAAAATATGCTTTAATGACAGCCATACTTCTAAACCAAACTTCAACAGAGTCAAAGAATGCTTCAAACATTGACTTAGAACTTAGAAAGTTGGGCTTAATGTATAAAACAACTGCTTTCTTACAACCTACAATAAAAAGAAGGGAAGATCAACACTTACAAACCACGCTTGATGCAAACCAGTTCTCACAGAATAAAAGCTGCTCGATCAGTCCATTACATCTTTTGGTGGTCCAGTACAGTCCAAGGTTTTATGTGGCAGTATCTGCTCTTTGTGTTGTAGTTGTTGTGTTATTGCCATCATCAAGGTTGTCTTGCAGTCTTCCAGGAGAGTTACTCACACTGCGACTTGTGAGAGCTGTCACCTCTCTTCTTCTTCTTCGTCTTCTCTGCTCGGTCAGCTGCTTTGTGCTCGCACCGGCGAGGAAAGAAAGAGGGCGAATGTGTGGCGTGTGCATATTGTGGTACCATCAGGATTTGTACCTCCCCTTGCTTGGGGCAAGTGAGGGCAAAGGCCACAGCTCTGGCTAAAGCAAAGAGATTCAGCTGATCTTTAGAATATCATTTGCATATTGATTGTTGGCAGGCTCCTTACTATTGCAGTGCTTCACAAAGCAATGGACTGGACAGTAGACTGGTGCACGTGCAATTGCCCCAGAGCGCAAGTCTTTTTGGGGGGAGGGGGGCTAAATGCCAATGTGATTTTTGCTTTGTTCCGTCACTTCCCAAATGTCATGACCACAAGTGTGCGCTGGAGCATTAAATGGCGTTTAAATTCCTGTGCCACGCTAAAGCATATTTTCTGGGGGTGGTAATCATGGAGTAACTCGCGACACAATGTTTTCGATATTTTGCTCAGGACCAACATCAAGGTTATGCAACATTGGCCTCTATGCACCCAAGACTTTTAACTTTGGGGTAAGGCGGCGTCTAAACTCAGCAACAGCCAGCATAAAACTCAACGTTTATTTGCTGTCTGATAATATAATTTCTACATTTATCCAAGTTATGGTCAAGCGATCAAAGGATCCATGAGCTATTCACAGTTTCACTTTACAGCTTCTTGTGTACTGAGACATACACAGCTTTATCTTTGAGGCACTCAATTCTCAACTATATTTGTAGAGCACAAAAAAAAACCCCAAAAAAAACAGTCGCAGCTGTAACGAATTGCTGTTATATGTCTTGTGATGATGAAATTGTCTTGACAAATCTTAACTTTCCAACTGTGTTGTTGTTCTGGGTCACTGGGAATTGTGTTAAAACTCCAAGGTGAGTTGACTTGCTGAACATGAAGGGGAGCACACCTTTTATTGATCCAAACACATGTTGGGCAGTAGAAAAATCTAACGACACACCACCAAAGAAAAGTATTACAGAAAATAAATACTATTTAGTATATTCACTCCCTGGGCTGTAGACAATAATGCTCAAGCATCCATCATTTGACTTGTGCAATGATAATCACAATCACAGGTAACTGCCAAGTGCTTCTGAACATGGCAGATTGCCAGTATGTGAGTGTACCGTAAGAAACTAAAGTGAAAGTCTGTAAAGATGACATTGTCTTAAATGTTTTGTAGCAGCCCAGTAAAAGTTCCTGTTGAAGACGACTTGGAAAGTGTGAACAAGACAAAAGATGACCGGTCAAGTGAGTATGAAAATTTCAATGCAGTTGTCAATTCACATTATTCAATGCGCCATTTTTTTTTCAGCATAAGCAATAACAAGTGCCCTGCTCTAGTTTCAGAATCCTTAGGAAGCAGCCCTGCTCCACTTGCAAGCTACAAGTATCCCACCTTCCCCATTACCAAAAGCAGACAGGAGGTAAAAGTCCATTTTCTGATTGCACAGAGCTGCTGTTTATGTGTGCGCGACTGTGTGTGTGTGACCTCATTCATATTTGGAGTTTTTATCCTCCGGATTTAAGTGTCGCTAAAGAATAAAAGATGTTGTTTGCAACAGCATTTCAAATGCCTCGGTTTAGTACTGCAATTTCTATAGTGGCCTGGCATTTCGTGAATAAGCGCATCAATTTGCTTTGCAATATGACTTTTTAAATTGAGTCTACTGAAGCCTTGTGTGCGCATGCTTGTGTGCCCCTCCAGCTGATTTCTCTGATAGAAAACAACTCTGTCGTGATTATTCGAGGAGCCACGGGCAGTGGCAAGACCACCCAGCTGCCACAGTACATTCTGGACCACTACAATGACAAAAATGCCTCTTGCAACGTTGCAGTCACGCAACCACGCAAAATTGGTGCCACCAGTATTGCTCGCTGGGTCGCCAGTCAGAGAAAGTGTACCTGCGGGAGTCTGGTTGGATATCAGGTTGGTTCAGCTTTTATAGAGACTTACTTCTGCTATAATCTGATCTACAAGGGGGAATGATTCCACTCAGGGCTGGAGAACTACGTTTTTTACTAGTGCACCCGATTTTTTTATTTTATTTTTTTCTCCGGTGCACCAACACAAAACATAGGCGCAACCCACATTTTCGACTTGAAGTTTTCAGCCTTATCTGACTGAAGCACACGCTTCACCAAATGCACACACACAAGGAGACTTCCTCCCCACTTCCCTCAAAAGGTTGATTGTACCAGTGCATCCATTTCATTTTATTTTTGTAGACGTACCTTTGAGAAATTAGGCTGCCTGGTTGCCCAAATTCTACAGCGCGGCCACTGGGCATCGTGATCTCAAGACACGAATGTTCAATTTGTGCACTCCTCCAACAGATTATATTTGGCTTGAAGGAGTTTTCCCTCCATTCCTTCCTTTTTTGTTTGATTCAAGTCATGCTCTTCTTGAATAGAAAGCACTCTTTCCCTGCAGCGGTGGATTTGTTCTCAAGTCATTCTGACATTTATTTCATCCCAGTTTGTGTGCCGAGCATACATATGTATACGTACATATGTATGCATATGTACATATGCATACGTATGTACTGTACGCCTGGTTAAATCACCCCCACAATCTATAATATAGGAATTATTATAGATATCCCATAATCCCTCATTCACGATGTAGTCCCGTATTATATAGTAGTCCCTATTTGTTTGGTGATTCGGACAGCCACTTTACTATCCCACCTACTGCATGAACACAGCAGGGATAGGCTCCACCACGCCCGCAACCCTCGTGAGGGATCAGCGGCTCAGATAATGGATGAATGGAATTATTTCTGTGAAGTATAGTTACTGTATTGCTTTGCTATTTGCGTTTGCACCATCTCGTTTTCCTGCACTGTGGTCAATATAAACCTGTTGCATGACCATCGTTGCTCACTATTTTTCCAAGTGCATTGTGGGCAATTTTGAGTGCCCTGCTTTTGTTTTTTCGTCATTCGGACACCCCCACAAAATGGTGTAACCCTTTAGTAGTGCACTACAGGTATATAAGGAATAATTTGCACATTCGGGCACAGCCATTGTGTCTATAGTTGCTGTTGAGGAAGTCGAATGAAACCTTATTGATAAGCAATGTCTGTGATTTCATATTTTCATTCAAGGTTGGACTGGAGAAGATGGCTACTGAGCACACCCGACTAATCTACATGACAACAGGAGTGCTTCTGGAAAAACTGGTTGCTGCCAAGGCCCTCACAGAGTACTCGCATATTTTTATTGATGAGGTGCATAAGCATAGCGTTTCAAAATTGAAATGTGAGAAGAATTTTTGAAAGTATCGGTTGACTACATTTAATTTGGACAAATAACACTTGCTGAAGGTTCATGAGCGTACGGTGGAAATGGACTTTCTCTTGCTGATTGTGAGGAGACTTCTTAACAGCAACTCTCGTTATGTGAAGGTAAAAAAAAAGATCTGTGGAATTCTGTCCGGGTTGAGTGTTCCTTAACAGTAGCCATGCTGTCCTAGGTAATTCTCATGTCAGCCACCATCAACTGCACACAATTTGCAGAGTATTTCAGCAACCCTGTTCGTGGAAAGATGAGTCCAGCCTATGTGTTTGAGGTGGAGGGTGCACCTTATACCATTGAGGACTTTTACCTGGATGACCTTCAGGACATCTGTCAACATAATGTACAGTACATAATGAGTTATTTGCTGCTGCTTTCAGTGGATATTGTTTCCTAGCATGTTTTCATGTTTCTCCTTCCCAGCTGGATTCAGCAGGTTCAGATGATGTTTACATCTCAACTGCGATGTACAAACTTGCCATCTGCCTCATTGAGAACTTTGACAAAATGGAGGGCGAGAGGAGCAGGTGAAGACTCTTTGTGCAAGCATTACAAACCGCATTTTGGAAGCCTTATATAACAAATTAAGTGGTGGAGTCTGCTTGTGTGTTAACAGTGATGCAGTGACAGAAGGCTGTGGGAACCTCTCAGAGAGGGGCAGCGTCCTTGTTTTCCTCCCCGGACTATATGAGATAAGATATATGCAACAAGCCCTGTCCACGCTGGTCCACAAGAGGTCTTTTTTTTTTTTTTTAACATGGTCAAATGAATTATTATGTTCTAATTTCATTTTACGTTCTACAAGTTAATCACTTTTTGAGATCACGTGCACCAAATTAATGGTCTTTCAAGACCTTTTTGTCCTGTCAACCCAGACCATGGCTAAGTACGACCCATGGGCCACATCCGTGACCATGACATCTTTCTTATCTAATGAAAGAAATTATTTGTTTCATGCTGGAAAATATGAATGCATTAAGAAGCTTTGATGCCCTTTTCCTTTCAGGTTGCAGGTTTTTGCCCTCCACTCCACCATAACAATGGAGGAGCAATATGGTGTTTTCCTGTCTCCTGTTCCCGGATACAGGAAGGTAAAAGTTTCATGCTTCTTATTTCTTACTAGTTAATTATTCTAATGTTGTTCTGACCATTGCAGGTCATTCTTTCAACGAACATTGCAGAAAGTTCAGTGACTGTACCCGATGTCAAATATGGTAGGTTATCTTATTTCTCTTCCCCACTTTGGTCTCACCCTCAAAATTTGTATCTAATCTCCCTTTATCTTTGATACAACCACAAGTATTCCTTTACAGCAGGGGTCTCAAACTCGGGTCCTGGAGGGCCGCTGTCCTGCATGTTTTCCAAGTCTCCCTGTTGCAACACACCTGATTCGAATGAACAGGTTCAATGTCAGGCTTCCGCAGAGCTTGCTGATGATCTGATCATTTGAATCAGTGTGTTGCAACAGGGAGACTTGGAAAACATGCAGGACAGCGGCCCTCCAGGACCCGAGTTTGAGACCCCCGCTTTAGAATATAAAATTAATTTCCATACCTCTTTTCCCTTTTTGTGCAGTTATTGATTTCTGCTTGACCCGTCAGCTGATTTGTGACAAAGAAACCAATTATCAATCTCTGCGTCTCACATGGGCGTCAAAGACCAACTGCAACCAACGTAGAGGTACCGCACAAATATTTCAAATACAGCAAAGTATGTCATCACTTCCGCTGACACTCACTTTCTACTCTGCCAGGAAGGGCGGGTCGAGTTTCCAAAGGCTACTGCTACCGCCTAGTCACCAAAGCCTTCTGGCGGAATGAAATCCCAGGCTACATGATCCCTGAAATGTTGGTATGTGCCTACATTGAATCAGTCATGACACCTTCATGGTATTCATTTTAATGCCCCCTGTATGTCCTCTCAGGTTTCCCCACTGTCCAACATAATGTTAAAGGTGAAGCTGCTGGGCATGGGAGACCCTCGATCCCTCCTTTCGACAGCTCCCTCACCTCCCAACCTCAAGGATATTATGAGAACCGTGCTCCAACTGAAAGAGGTGGGTGCTGGTGAATAACTACGGTGAGCACACTGTGATCCAAAGTATTACGCATATAAGATTGAAGTCAAGTCAAGGTTTGGGTTTTCATTTGTGGATTTTTTTCCCCCCTTACAAGGTATCTCTTCAGAGACATGAATCTCAGAGGTTTCATGATTAGCTTCCCAGATTAGCCTTTTAAAAGAAAATTACTATTAAAATGTTCCACATTATTTGGTATTAATTGGGGAGAATTTTTTTTTTTTTTAACTAATGAAAAATATGAAATAGTCCGATGTGAAGTGACTTTCAAGAAAGTCATCATACAGTTGAATAATTTGATTTTGATTCAGAGAGCAACAAGGTTCATTCAGAAGAAGCCATATTAGGGATAGATTCAAGGATTCAATGAATTCTCATACCAACTGGGGATGCATAATAACTATTGGACAGATATTGGGAAAAAGTAGTGTAACTTGTATGGGTCCGATATCAAATACCACCTCAAATACAGTAACGTTGGTCTGGTTATTGTCTCTGCTGCATGATGATGATATGGCGCCACTGAGCACGACTTCAGAACAGTGAACCATTTGTTAACACAGCTTAAGTTTTCCCAGAGGAGTTTATATGAACCCGGGATCTTGACTGTGCCCAAATTTCATGATGTAGTGACTGAAAAAAAATTATTGGTTTTACACAAATAACCATCTGAAATTTCATACTTGTTTTTGTTTTAAACTGGTGTGCAAAATAATTTGGTGCTGTATTTGAGTAATTTAGCAAAAAAACAAAAAAACAAAATTGCCATTATTGTGTTTTTCTTCATTAAACTTACCATTTAATACAGAAGCAATATGTTAAAATTATGAACTGTAAATAGCATTAACTATTTGGTGCAATTGAACAAAAACACCGTATTCTTGATCATTTTATAACGCAGTGCGTCCTGACCACTTGGGATAATATTCTCTTTTGTTCTCTAGATGGGGGCCCTGTCTGCTAAACAGAATGATGAATATCAAAATGATGATGGTGAGCTGACGTTCCTGGGTCGAGTGCTGGCCCACTTACCTGTGGACCTTTACCTTGGCAAGATGATTGTCCTGGGCCACGTCTTCGGTTGTCTCGATGAGTGTCTCATCATAGGTCGGCTTTCTACATTATAGTATTAGCGATATCAATTATCAGTATTAAGTCTGCTTTTTGCCTTACTTTTTACACAAGCTACATTAACAACCACTTCAATCTTCAGCTGCCTGCAACTCGATGAAGAGTTTCTTTGCCATACCTTCAATGCAACAGCTTGCCGGTCACAGGTGAGTCACATCCGAAGGCTGTCTTTGTCATCTTTGGTGCCCCTATTTTGCTCTGTATGTTTAAAAAAACAAAAAACAGCTAAATGAATAAAGTTCGTGAAGATGGTCTAATTCAGGGTGTTGGCGACCCACGGCTCTTTTATCCTAATGTTGCGGCTCTGCGTGCCTCGAGACAATAAATTATGAGTGTCCAATTGAAGTGTATGTTATTTGTCTCAAAAACATGTATCACTTCTGTTATGTTCTCTGACTGTACACTAGGTGACAGTGTTGCTATAAAAATACTGTCCGCATGAAAAAGGAAGGAGAGGAGTTCTGTAATGGTGACTATAGTGAGTTGTACGAACTAGTGTTGTGCTGTTAATAGCTTGTTAAGAAAATACAGTGTTTGGCTACACTCTGGCCTTGTTATTTTGTATCCCAACACCACAACTTATTTCTTCAGACCTTGTGCAATTTCGGTGTTCAGTGTTCGCCTTCTTCTACCTATGCAAATTTTGTGGTCGCTCGGGAAATAGCCAGATATGAGAAGCCGTTCACAGAAGGAGAACATATGAAAGATTTCATAAGCAACGCACTGTTTTACAAGCTAACATTGTCTTTTCAGATGTGATAAAGTATTTACAGCTCCCGGTGTTGTCTTTTCTGTGGAAAATAGGTCGAAATGGCTTTTTGTGTAGAAAGGGTTGTCGACCCCTGGTCTAATTCATACATGCAGGTTAACCCTTTCCGATCACACTTATGTCCATATATGGCAAAACCACGTTTCCACTTCCACCAAAAGGTTTGAAATGTCAGGCAGCCAAATAGCCCCAAGCAAATGACCACAAATAAGAAATCAGAAATGTTAGTGTCACTTCACTTTATTTTTTTCTTTTAAATCTGAAAAACATTCCTTCCACCACAGATTGAGCCTGAACTTAATATTCTGTCTTCTGAATATTTGCATTCTAGGAGCAAGATGGCCTTTGCCCAAGGCAGCCAAAGTGATTCCGTTGCATTTGTCAACACCTTTAAGGTAATGCTAAGGCCCCCCTGCAAAAAAACATATTTTAAGGGATTTGCTCAATGCAACTCTTTTCACTTTCCTTCCCTGTTGTTAGGCATGGCTCTCCTTCAAAAAGCAAGGACAGTTGAGAAGCATGAAGGTGCCCGAAACAACTGAACATTAACCGACATCTATCATTGTCGATTTTTTTATTTTAACTGAGGTCACCTGTTTTCTCCTTTGTATAACTATGGAACAGTTGTCAGAGGTTATCTTTTGTTCACATACTGTGATGACAAGGTCTTCTTGACTATGCAGACTTGTAAAAACATTAAGAAAACTGTCTCTTATTCTCGATCCTTAGGATGAACTGGTTTGGGGCAAAGAGAACTTCATTCAGATCAAGAGGATCCGAGAGGTACCTTTTTGAAAGGATTCACTTCTTCGGAGTCTAATCTTATCCCGACGTCCAAGGCAGAGTCCTGCGACGTCACAGTTGCCAGCAACTGGCCGTGACAGAGACAGGCATTTGAGAATTAATCGATTAGTCGTCACTTAATCGATTAATTCTGAAATGCTTAAAGGCTATTAATCACATGTTTTGATCATCGATTAATCATTTAAAGACCCTTTTTTATACCTAAAATGCATTCTAATACGTATTGTCTCCTGGCATGCGTAAAAACTGTGGTAAACAAATCATGTGAGAGTTTCCCTGTTGCAACCCTTGATGGAATAAGCTGCAAGTCTCAACAAATCAGCCCTTCTCCCCTTGCCATTCTCTCTCTGTCTAGGTTGCAGAATTGTATTTAGATCTGAAAGAACGTGTGAAACAGTTCAACATGTGTGTGCCAGAAAATACCCAACCCTCAGACTACAAAAGCATCCACACACAGAAGTTCATTCTTCAGGTTTGTGATGAATTTGATCGTTTGGGCCCATATTCTCCCTTGTATGGAAGTGGTTACATGCATTCTCCCGTCAATTCAGATTTGTCATTTATGCACCCGTGTGCCTGGTTGGCCCTTCAACACATTCTTTGAACGTCAAAGTATCATATGCTAAAAAAATACCAGTGCCAACTTTCTTTCTACCTGCGAGGAGCTTTTCAGCTTGCAACGTTCTATTGCAGCTTGGAGGTTTTTTTGGAAGCGCTGCTTAGTATTACAAGTAATTAACGGCGCTATGGTGAGTTAGATTCTGAATCATTTGTTGGTTGTGCGTTTTACGTGACGCGGTCTGTGGCACAAACTGATTTCAGGGCCTAGCTGATTTTAAATAAATAAAAAAATGTATATTTAAATACATGGCAGACTCACCTCTTTTCCATTGATAAACCTCCAGACATATATTCAGTCATAAGCACAGTATTCTGATTAAATTCCTTTTATGGCATTTATTCCATCCAGAATTGGAAAAAAACCCAAGACAAAACAAACATGCTACTTAAAAGGAGCATGTTGGATGACGATGGAGAAGAAATATCCGCTATGGAAGTTAATTCCAGATTTAAAGTGTGTTAAATTTTCCAAATAGATTTCTATGGCACACATAAGTCACACGAAAGCTCCATGATTAAAAATCGACCTCAAACTTCAATGAGTCAGGCCTTCTTGGTGATTGCGCTCACATGAGCCATTCATGCACACAAGGTAGGCCAGAAGTCATTATGAAGGAATGCATGTACATTGAAGGTCTGCGGGAAAAAAAAAAAAAAAGACTTGCACACAAATGGTAGAGTATGACCCTTAATGTCTGGTGTAAAAGCTTTCACTTATGCATGGACCTCTCTTACACAGGTAGTCATTGCTGGTGCCTACTACCCTAACTACTTTGTACAGGGAGAGATTGATGATGATCTGGCTTCCAGAGAGTTGAGTGGCTTCAACCCGAACACAACAGTCATGGTAGGTAATTAAGTATTACTTACTTCTTGAGCAGACCAATATTCCAGCTATTAATGTATGAAGTGTCAGTGGTCAATGTGTCGCGTTATTCACACGTTCTCATGGATATTAGCTGCTTTATTTATCGATGCACAAGCCACGAATCACACTTGGGTATGCGAGTTGACTGGTAACGTCGCTGGCTCAGGCGAGGGTCATAGCCGGTCATTTGGGGCCCAAGGCAAACACAGCAGGAATATAGAAAAAAAAAAGGTTTCAGACCTATAGCATTAACCTCAGTTATCACAAAGGCTCTCGATGAAACCCTGCTACACCATTTACAAACATTTGTGAATGACAAACTGGATCTCTTCCAGTTTTCATATAAAACAGATGACTTCGACACAGATGATTGCCGTTCATCCTCAAATAATCAATTTGTAATAAAGGAACTAGGCGGAACTGTAAATTGTGAAAATCTGCATATAATTGACAATTGTTCTGGATTACATTGATCACAGTTTTCAAGTTAGGGGAAATCACCTCAGTACTCAGGTTAATATAAAAGCATGGTCTTTCATAGAGACTGGTGTTTTGCTGTTGTGATATGTTTTAAATGTAGCTTGTGAGTTGTTTTTTTCCCAGCAATTACAGTCTCAGCGATACAGCAAAGTTTGGCTGAATGTACTGTATGTTACATAAGGTTAATCCCAAGACATGTCCTTCCCAGATGAGGAACCTCCCCACCTACAGTTTTCTTTACTACAAGCAGCTGCTGTCTCTCTTCCGCCAATGTGGACAGGTCAAAGCCATTGCCTTTGAGAGCTCCAGGTAGTGAACTATAACATTTGTTCCTCATGTAGAAGAGCCAAAACTATCACGACAGATGTGTATTTTTTCGTGTGCGCAGAGCATATGTGGAATTCTACAAGACATCACAGGACTCTGCAACCGTGCCTGAGGTCTCACTCGCCCTCCTCCTGGCCCAGCAGAAACCTGCCCTGGAGCTTTCCGTCTACCCAACAGAACAAATAGAAGCCTGTGCCGGGGGCAGACAAATAACTCATTTGAAATATGCACGGTATAGTTCTGTCCATGTGTTTGAGGAAATAACCTCTTTAGTATGTATTGATGAAATTGTGATTATAACAAAAGCAATGCATGTTGGGCAGTTTTACAACAGACATTTTGTGCAAGTAACAGCATATTGACACAGTTTGTGTGATGCTGCTGTGTAGGGTGAATGTTGACTTACAAAGCCAGTCAGTCCTTCCAGTGGGAGTGGTGAGCAGTACCCTTGACCCAGACAAACTGCCTCCCAACCTCTTTTTTGTGGTGAACATCACAACGGTCTGCATTCTACCTCATCCTGATACTTCAACCACCTTGGGTTGTCTCAATACGTTGATGCGTTTGCTGCAGGTGGTGGACGTGGGTCATTTCTGGGGATTCCAGGCAGATGAAGCCAGTTTGGAGAAGCAGCGGCAATTGACAGGCGAGATCAACATGCGCACCCTTGAGCCTGTGACTGTGTCGCTCTATCCCAATTTTCTTTGCCTGGCGCCTTACTCCGATGGAGATGAACAGAGCCTCTACTACCGGGCCAAGATCCTGCACATCTGTGGAGACACAGTGGAGGTGGGTGCGGGTGATATTTTCTCCTCAGGCAGTGGCCAAGTGGCATTGCACCCTCCGTGCTCACACAGGCTTCCGCTCCCATTCCGAAAGCATGCCTCTTAAGTTCATTGAATATTAGAAATTGCCTACAGGTGTGAATTGGGGCTGCGAAAGAATGCTTGTCTATGTGTGCCATGCGGTTGGTTGGTGACCGCTCACCAGTGACCTTAATGAGTATAAGTGGCATAGAAAATGGATTTATGGCTCACCTCATCATATCACACTTAGACAGTTAAGTTGACTTCTTTTAGATTGCGGTCATGTAACATACAGTTTATCATGCTAATCCATGAAGTAGTCAAATCAATCTTTTACATGCTCCACATGAAATTATACCCAAGCAAAGGATGTTTTTATTCTGCAGGTGTTCTTCTTGGACTTTGGTAACACAGTGTCTGTCCAGTGCAACAGCCTGAGGGAGCTCCCATCTGACCTCCAGTCTCACCCCTTGCAGGTACCAACAGTTTGATTTTCCACTCAACTCCTTCTCACTTTCTATTGTGTCAATTAACAGACAAATGCCGTTCTCCTTTTCCAAGGCTCAGGAGTTTCAAGTGATTGAAATGCGTCCGTCAGCAGAGTCCATCATATTTGGCAACCGCTGGAGCAGCCGTGCCCGTCATCGATTCATGGCACTGGTGAAAGGCCACTCTGTCATTGTGTCGCTGTACTCTGTTCTCCACAATGTGATGCGTGTGCAGCTGCTCATCAGCAGTGATACCACAAACAGAAGCATAGTTGACATCTTTGTGGAAGAGGGCCACGCCATCCGTGCTGAAGAAAGCTTTGACTCCAAGGTAACCCGTCAATTAGAAGTCAACTAGAAAGCACATATTGCTTTCCATTCATTCAAACAACATGATTAATACAATAATGTGGTGCTTGTTCACAAAAATATATTCACGCGTGGACAAAATGATTGGTACTCCTGTTAAAAACCCACAATGGTGACAAAAACAAGTTGAACAAGGTAAGGTAATAAAGACTAAAAAACACAAACAAATTTAAATCCGACATTACTTTTGCCTCAACAAAATGATGGTACTCTTAACTTAATATTATTGTTGCACAACTTTCTCCTTTGCTTTCTGCGGCTCAGTGTGGTATCACTACATTCAAATTATTCCTGTAACTGTCATTGGGACCGCTACACCCATCAACAGTATTTTGACTCAGTCCTTACGAGCAAACTTCTCCAGTTGTCACATATTTGAAGGATGTCTTCTCCTCGTTATGTTTTAGAGGCTAGATGGATTTTTATATATTTTTTATTCTTCATGGGTCATCTTTGCCCTGCAGCAAAACCATGAGGTGCTGATTTCTCTGTACAAAGACATCGAAACAGGCATGTATGTCCCCAATGCTGCCAGCAGCTCCTGGAAGGATCGCAAGAAAGAGGAGAAGCAGCTCATCGACTGCCTCCTCTCCCAGTTTTCCAAGACCTGCCCGCCTTATTCCAGGACAAAGGCAAGATATGATTAAAGGGCAACTAAACCTAAAATGTCAAAACCTTTATTTTATTAAGTCAATGCCATGGCTGTAGTTCATGTACCGGTATTTGATCATTTTAATGCTAAAAACCCACAGAGTTTCAGTTGAAAAATAATTACTTGAAAAAAACGAGTCTGAGATGAATCAATACACATTTTGAGTTGTCTTGTATGTGTATCAGAAAATGTGCTGAAAAAAAAGAAAGGAAAACATATAGAACCATGAGTTTATTTTGAATGTTAGAGAGAGCAGTTGCCCCACTGATTTGGTGAAATGGTCCGAATGATATATGCAAGTGTGGTCAGGGTTTGCAAGTCGGGTTAGGGTTTTGGGTTTGCAAGTAGGGTCAGGTTTTCCAAGTTATTTATTGTTAATAATGCTGTAAATACTGTTCTCTGATTGGATGATGATGTGCACAGGTTCGTTTGCATGGACCAAGCAGTCCTTATAAAATCCAATTCCACTGTTTGTTCCACGATACGTACATCAAGTAAGTCGCTCATACCACTGGGCACAATACTACTGATAGTCAAGAGGTCTTTGCCTTTGCTCATCAATGCAATGTCTTTTTCCCAGGCACGTGAACATAGATCAATACAGCATCAACACCATGGCTGTGAATGAAAATCCTCACTACAAGCACCAGAGAATGCTGGTGGCGGGGAGTGTGTTCATCAATTCTTCAGGTGCCAGGGAACTGCAAGCATGCCTCAAAATACAGTGACAGTGATCAGTTATTCCCAAACAGTTTGCCGTGAACTTTTGCATGCTATTAGAGATTAGCATGTGTGATGCGTGAAATGATCCAGTTTCAATTAATTTGACTGCAAATCATTTGGTTACAACAAATTGAAACTTATCTTTGTTTATGCGAATGGTGGCATGGTGGGTGACTGGTTAGCACGTCGGCCTCACCGTGCAGAGATGCAGGGTTCGATTCTGACTCCGGCCTTTCTGGGTGCATGTTCTCCCCATACCTGTGTGGATTTTCTCCGGGTACTCCCGTTTCCTCCCTCATTCCAAAAACATGCATGGCAGGTGAACGGAACACTCTAAATTGTCCCTAAGTGTGAGTGTGAGCGAGTTGTTCGTCTATGTGTGCCCTGCCATTGGCTGGCAACCTGTTCAGGGTGTCCCCCATCTACTGCCCGAAGACAGTTGGGATATGCTCCAGCAAACCCGCGACCCTTGTGAGGATAAGCGGATTAAAAGAATGAATGAATGGATGGATGTTAATGCGAGTGACATGTAGCGACAGGCAGAGGAATTAAATCCTTATCCACTTGAAGACGCACGGTACAATTAACTTGCGTATCCACACTTTGCAGCTTTTTTTTTGTTTTTGTTTGTATTTGGTGTTGTGTGATTTTTTTTTTTTTTTTTTTTTTTTTTTTCTTCTCATGTAAAATACGTGCCTCGGCCGAATAATGGTTGGGAAACACTGTTCGACCACCAGATCATATCGTAGACTGAATGTGAAGTTTCATCCTTGAGTAAGGCGCTTCATGACTATAGATGAACTAAAATTATCCCAAAAAATGTTTTTTTTTTTTTTTTTAACTTTCATACCTCCTTTGGCAAGAAATGTACATCATGCCACCTCAAAAATGTCCGGGATGCAAATGTGTACGTCATGGCTTTAAAACTTCTTATGTTTAAGAAAGTAATTGCAGTGTTGTGTTGCAGGCAACATTCTTCCAAAGGACACCTCACTAATGCCAGACATCCCTGGACTCCCTGCCATTGTTACCATGCTCTTCACCCCAATTATGGAGTTACGGTTAGTGTCACATGGACATAACCATGACACAGACAGCAATATATACAGTGATCCCCCTCCATTGCGGCGGTGACGTTCCACACCATCCCTGCAATGGGTGAAAGCCACAATCCAGAAAAATCTTAGTGAAATAGTCCCTCTGCATGTTTTTATACTATTTATGTACTTGTGGTGGTCAGAAGCAAAATGTTATCCAGAAAAACTGCATCCAAACGTGTCTTTGGTTACCCTGGTTGTAGTAACGCAAGCTTATTGGCGATGTCTCGTGAAAAAAAAAGCACGTATGTCAATTTTTGTCTTTTGTGTGTGTGTGTGTAGAGAGAGAGAGAGAGAGAGAGAGAGAGAGAGAGAGAGAGAGAGAGAGAGAGAGAGAGAGAGAGAGAGAGAGAGAGAGAGAGAGAGAGAGAGAGAGAGAGAGAGAGAGAGAGAGAGAGAGAGAGAGAGAGAGAGAGAGAGAGTGAGAGTGAGTGAGTTGTGTGCCACCATCTAGTGGGTAAGAATAGAATTACACCCAGGATACAGTAGATTCAGAATGACGTAAGCGCTATTAACTGACAAAAAAATAAATCACAAACTAGCTGGGCCACAAACCTGGAACCCGAGTGGAGGGGGGTTTACTGTACCCGATTTTTTTTTTTTTTGTTGTTTTTTTTCCACTGTTTTTGTTTCAGCACCAACGTAGACAAAACTCGCTACATCGGTGCACTCTGTGGTTTGGGCTGGAACAGTGAAACACAAAAAGGCGTCCTTCCGGACCATGACATTGAACTGGCCTTTGATGTCAAGTTTGATTTTGAAGACATCACTGAGGTAATGGCAAAGATTTATGATGCCTATGTAATGAAATCCAATTCAAAATCTGTATCAAAAAATCTGCCTTTGCAAAGGCAACAATGCTCAGTTTTTGTTGGCACACAGAAAAAGTTTTGCTCCTCCAGTGTAGTCTAATAATAGTGATTATTATTATCATCATTATTATTACAGTTGTGCAGATAGCACTGGGGATGGATGGAGTCATATAAGGCTACGATATACTAGAGAGAGAGAGAGAGAGAGAGAGAGAGAGAGAGAGAGAGAGAACAATTCCAAAAATGTAGAGACTTGAATCTTACCTGCAAGAGTGTGGTCAATGTGTTCGTACTATAGAAACCTTCTACAGCGTTGTCCCATTGTCAGCTCTCTGACTGCTTTGTCGCACGGGTATCTTCAGATAAATGCTTTGCGAGTGGCAATGAACCACCTGGCGTGTGAAGGGCCGAGTGGCACCCTGCACTTGCCGTCTGACAAGATCGGGCAGTTCCAGGAGGACTGTCGTGAACGTCTCATTAGGTCACACCCACACTCCTGCACTCTTGTTAGAAGCTTATTTGAATGAAAATAGATATTGATTATATGTTTTCTACAGATTGTTCACAAAGTCTCCTCCAAGGGAAAATGTCACTTCAGTGTACTTTGATAAAGCAGGGAAATGGAACCAGGTATGGTGGACATGACTTATTCATTTAACTTTTGAGATGGATTGTTTAGATTGTTGTCTTGTTTCCATTCGTACTTTGCATGCTCTGTTTCGACAGGTTGAGCCTTCACTCAAGATGGACGTCGCCGAGGCTGGAACTGGAAAATCAAGAGGAGTTCTCTTTGACCTGCATCCACTCATCCTCCTCAACAACTAAGATACGTGCCTCATTTGCACACATTTTTCTTTTTATGTTTTAACGCAACTTAATTCAAGTGTTTGATTTATTTTATCCTCCAGTGGGACTGTGGCTTTCACGTTGCCTTAGAAAAATTCACTCGAATTTCTTGGGTGGTACATGTTTGTTGTAGCCTACATTTTGTCTTGTAAAAGTATGTGGGTTTATCTCTGTTCGGGTTGATGATGAGATAACCTTTATTTGTCCCACACTGGGGAAATTTGCAGTTCATTGTAGAAATATGTTATCTTGTTGAAACAGTTCCTTGGCAGTGGGACAATAAAAATAATTGGTTGCAACAGATGACACTTGCCAGTCACTCTCAGCCCTGTCACCCTACTTGTCACCATGCACAGACTCACGTACGCACGCAGTATTATCTTGGATGATTTGTTTCTATTCAGAGCCCTCTGCTGTCAAAAACTAAACATATGGATTCCCTGTACACTGTTAAGATGCAAAGATATTGGCAGATATTTTCATCACCGATGAGAAAATGTGACCTAATCACTCAGTCAACTAAGGAAATGTTATCCATCACAGTACATTTATTTTGTCATGTTCTTGTAATTAAATACATAGTGTAAGTGCAAATAGTTAAGAGTCCAGGGTCTAGAGAACTACACAGTATAGTAGAACATAGTACAAAGTTGGACAGTTATTCAAACAAGCTCGATATCACCAGATACTCCTTGTCTTCATAGTAGTTGTACAACAGTACCCACAACATTACCGTGTGTATTGTTCCTTATTGGTATACAAAAGCAAAAACCTACAAATACCACATCTAAGACGCATATTTTTAAATTACTTTGCGCTTGGAAACACCAAAAGGAAATTGTGTGAGAGAAGCCCCATCTGCTTACTTGAACATGAAGCAGCGAACATTGGCAGCAGAGCAAGACTGGCCACTGAGCTGTAGGTTTTTTTTTTTTTTTGTTTGTTTGTTTTTTTTTTTTTTTTGTTTTGTTTTGGTGCCACACCATACACTTTGTGGTAATGTGGTAAGCACTGCAAAAGCAAAAATGTAGCGTGGTATTCAAAACGGCACCAAAGATATCAAATATTTACCCAAGGCTCCACTACATGCTTTTTACTTTAGAATAATAAACACAAAAAAGTCCTGTCTCTTTAGCTTTTTGAGTTGTGAACATGTCTATCTAGAGGCGTTATGAATGTGTGGTTGTGTGTTGTTAGTGTTTACACTGCTCTAGACAGGGTGAAGGCTTCTCTAGTGGATGCTTTTCGAGAATGCCAAGATGACAAAGCGTGACGCCCCTCTGATGATAACCGGGCTCTTTAAGGGTGAGCGAGCCTCCTGTGTGAGATGTGCAGATCTACTCCTCCTTTCTCTTCGCCCCGGGGATCTTTGCTTGGATCCTGGATACAGAGAACAAGTAGGAGTTGCATGTTTCCGATAGGATTAAGTCGCTGTTGGACAGCAAAGCACCTGCTGCTCTTTTCTCTCTTTTTATGGTGCTCAATTGAGACATCTTAGCTTTTACCAAATAAGGAGAATGATGTCGGTCAGTCACAAAAGAGCTCTTGTAACTACTGTCGGGGTTTTTTTTTTTGTTTGTTTTTTGGACACCTGCACATTGTCCAATGGATCACAGTTATTTAATATTATATTTTAATACAAAAGAGACTGTTCTTTAATGCAAAGATTATGTACTGTAAGAAATATCTGAATGAGCACTCACTTTCCCACCACAGAGTTGACATGGGTCCGTATTAGTCCCACATATTGATCTATCTGTGCCTACGAGCAGGGGGGAGGGGGGGGCAACAAATGATGTAAAAACTATTATTTTTGTTTAATTAACTTTTTGATGATTTAAGGTTGAAAATCTTTACCTGGTGTTTCTCATAGACCACAGGCATAGTGAACATGGAAACCACAGCTGCAGGCACAGAGAATAAAGAGGAGTCAAAATATTCTCACTCAGTGCAGGAACAAAACCACTTATCTTGGGCAAACTGTGTAAATACCTACACAACACAATTATAGCTCCTAACACGCTGACAAAGACATGCTGCCCCACTTGCGATTACATAAAAGCTAAGAATAACCTGAGTATATCCAGTGCACACCAACATGTATTGCTCTCGATGTGCAATATTAAAGAAAGTTCTCTAAAGTCAACATCGAGTGGAGTTAGGTAAGTTCGGGTGACCTCACCTAGGATGAGCAGTGTCAAGCCGTTGAAGAGAGCGCCCACATAGGTCAGAAGCCACATCAGTACAGCAAACTGAACAGAAAATCCAGTTTGAAAAGTTTTCCTTTCAAAGTTGATCATGGATGAGATGTTTCCACCAAACATGGTCTGCTCGTCACGGTACAGTGAGGAATGGTACAATCCTATCTCGCTAACCGGTGTGGAACATTAAATGTAGGCCTTAGGGGTGGAAAGGCTCACAAAATGCATCTCGTTTTTTTTGCTTTGTTTTGATATGCATTAACCCCCCAAAAAATAAATAAATAATCAATTGCCTTGGATAGGAGATGTAAAGACTTTAGCAGTGTCCAAATTCAGGCTATGTCCTCTGAAGGATTTCGCAGACAACCTTTGCTCCGGGCCCTTCTTTCTGGAAACGAAGGTCAGATTTGAAGGCTGGATTCGAATGTTGCATGAATTTGGACACCAGAATGCGGTGGAGGCGCGCCAGAAGTTACATCATGTGGCCTTCACATTCGGCCTTTGGAAGATGCAGCCCTGGTCGCCGGACTTAAGATGGTGAGGCTAGCGACGTACTGTCCTGGAATATTTTTGACTGCCGCATAACTGTTTGGATATGACACACTTGTAGTGTCCTGCCAAGCAGTTTATTGTGAATCAAATGTGCTGCCCATCTTCTTTTTTAAATTTATCTTATTTAGCTTTTATATCCTTTGTAACTTCACTGGCATGTTATGTCAATTTGTTGAAGATGTAGACGACTGTTATAAGCAATTTTTTTATATGTATATACACATCCATCCATTTTCAACACCGCTTATCCTGAACAGAGTCGCGGGGAGTTGCTGGTATCTATCCCAGCTGACTTCGAGCGGAAGGCAGACTACACCCTGAACCGGTTGCCAGTCAGTCACGGGGCACATAGAGAGACGGAAGGAACTTTCACACCCACATTCACACAGTTTCTAAGTGGGAATTGATTCCACGTGGCCCGCACACAAGTCTGGCATGTGCACCACTTCACCATCACTGTCTCGACGTGTATATTGTTTAGTTTGTTTAAAATAATCTCTTGATGCGTCTTGGTTTAGTGCTCACGAGGGGGTTGGGACAAAGTTGCTCGAACGGAATGCAGACGAACCCAACTGAAACCGTTGAACTGAGGAGTTTAGTCTGGATGGTTTTCAAGAACGGTTCCACCACAAGTAGGCCTACACAAAAAAGTAAAAGGACATCATTGGAGCACGTACATTGTTCTTTTGTTGTTGTCTTATAGCTTTTGATTTCTTTTTTGCACCGGTAATTTAGTTAGCAAACTACAATATGTCTAGCGCCACCTTTTTTTTCCACATGGTACCAAAGCTGTTGATATTTAAATGGGAAGATGCCAAAATGTATGGCAGTTCAGATTTGTAATTTTAGCACACAAAGCCACTTTTCCATTGGAAATCCTAAACAATTGTATATGGTTAGCAAACTGTCTTGCTCGGTGGAAACGGATCAGATGCAAACCTTCAAAGAGTCAATTAGATCTTGAACGAGGAAAAGCCTGCGCAGCTCCCTCATGCAGGTGTTGGTGTAGATGAGGATTTTGTCAGCATATTTGCTAATTTGGTCCTGGGATAGAGAAATTTCCATCTCCAGGTAGCCTCTGTATGAATGCAAGTACAGAAATGGAGTTGATCAATATGCAGTGGATTAGAATATTTAGCGAGGTCATGGTTGACTCACTTGAAAGGATGCCCCTCATCAGTTTTCTGAACAGCCTGGAGCACAGATTTGTAGATACGGAAGCTGATGGTGGCAGAGAGAGCAGCCAGGGCTAAGTAGGCTCCAACGCTGACCACGCTGAACTGGGTCAGGGAGAAGAGGAGCAGAAGCACGCTGCTGAACACGGCCCCCGACTGCTTCACATTCCTCCAGTAGAGCAGGTCAATAGCTGGCGAGTGAGGACAGAGACGAACAGGGTTACAACCCACAAAAAGCGTTCACCGCTCCACTTTTTGTTAGTTTCTTTAGGTACCCGAAGGAATCATAAGACGTTTTTGCAAGCCCCCCACAAGAGTAAAACAATATGCTGCTTTGGTCGTGGAAGCTACATCGCACAGCTGGAATATGTCATTCGTTAGCTTCAGCACCTCCTTGGCTTTGATTCTAACCTAGCTTCTTCGTCCAGCTATGCATCCTAGTGCCAGGTGGATATGTCGCTGCACATCCATAGAGACCCCGTTGCTGATCTCAGTGCATTTATCAGCGCTAACACCTGGTTCGCTCTCATACGTACACACATACATCCCGTCCAAAATAACCAAACAGCAGGCCCCATACTGTATAAGTTCCCTGAGGAGAATTAATGATTGACAAAAATGGGAGCACAATCAGCATTTTTAGAGATAACGGTTCTGTGTGACATGGTCGCGCTGACAAGCAGTGATGAAAGATGGCGATGATTCATGGAGAAACTTGGTACTCCAACACTGACCATGCCTTTCTGTGGCTTTTCTGGGCAAGCTCCAGATTTGGTCAAGTTGCCCTTCTCTGCCGGTCACTTGGAAACACAAACCTGTTTCCATGGTAACAGCTGCCTTTTCTTACCATCATTTCTATCCCTGCTGAGCTGCAATTGATGCCCGACCAGACCTTATCATGCCTGTCTGCTGGGAATAGTAGAATCGCTCCTGAGAAGGATCCCTCTGGTGCCTTTCTCTTCCCTGAATAGTCCAACTGCTTTTTTGCCGGCTCTAATTTTAGCCATAGAGCTGTGAATGGCACAGCGATTACGGCCATCTTTGCTTGCCTCTGACTCGGCATCTGTGGAGTCCTTAGAGGAGGCCTGGATAGCCCTCGGACCTCTTTGGACTCATTTTGATAACGTCAGCGTGTGCTCTAACTGTCATCCTTATTTTCTAATGTAAGATATGCATGGTCTCTTGTCAGGAAGCAACCATGCGTCACATCTATCAAGCGAATGTCATCAGGAGGAGTTTAAAACCCGATCGACATGCTTTGCCATCCCTCTCTGCGACGACAGCTGGTTCAGTTGGAGATGCTGTGAGAATAACCCACACATGCACTGGTGTGTAGCTCCTTAGTTGTATGCACGCACACACCCACGCGCACACAGACGCCAAAGCAGCTTGACTTTAGAGACAGGGTCAGTGCCAGTGCCGCGCAGCCGTACTGTAGGGGTTAGAGCATTAGCTTAGTGCAGTAGAAGCGGGTACTGACCTGCGGGTCCCATGGCTGAACAGAGAAAGAGGCAGCTGCTTTATTCACAACAAAAGGAGAGCGTTGGTGGGCGTTCCCTCCCCCACCACAACCACCACACACACACACTGCACAGGAAAGGAGTGACTACAACCACACTAGCCAATCAGCAGCTGTCTGATGAGTGACGGGACTTTAAGGGGGGCCTCTATTGCGTAGGGTTGGCAAAGAAGCACAATGCAATCCAGCACACACTCAGAGTTTATATGATGTTCGAAGCTAAGGCAGCATCACGGTTTCGTGGCTTGATGCGTTAGCATTCAAATGGTATCACTTCCACAGACACACACATACAGTAGCCATTTTCAGGTGCTCTATCTCAATGGCCTGGTCGCAAGAGTCTGCTGAATACCTGCCTGATGCAGTTGCTATAGCTACGGCGCTTGCTCCCTTTTATCACCGAGAGATTGGAGGAAGGGAGGGGAAAGAGCGTTCCTCTGGGAACAGAGAGAGATTCATTTGGTCCAATTTGGGGACGCACAGGAACATAAGGAGTGTGTGCACCCCTGCAAAGATCAAGACTGCCACTCCCTTTTACCGTGGAAAACAAAGGGACAAAAGCGTGTTAACAGCGGCCTCTAAGCCATCAAATGGCTTAGCAGACGTGTGCACATTTTCAGCATGACGTATCAGGCATGTATGGAAGGTTGGAGGAAAAGAAGTCATTCTTGGATTCGGTCTGATTCATTATGTACAAACAACCGAATTGCATAAACATCAGTTTCATTCCGTCAAAAATGTTATACTACAGAGTCAGGGGCTGTTTATTGTGAGGTCCTTCCATCCACATACATAAAAAAAGCAGAGCAAATGATTATCATCTGTGACAAGAAAATGAATCCCGCTCACCCTCCTCTTTCTTTCTGCAGTGAAACTAGTTTAGCCTGACCTCATTAAATCACTGAAGACATCCTTGTGGCCTCAAACCAGTCACCAGCCCATGTGCGCAAACATGCAATGGGAATTCTGCTTCCAAGAAGTTTTAAATGTAAGACTTGAGCACTTGTGCATGTTACCATTTTAAAACCACGTTTTTAATGACATAGGTCTATGAGCAAATAAAGTCTTAAAATAATCTTTGTTGCACAATGTTATAAAACAGACACTGTTAATTCATTTTTTAATATTGTGTTTTAGCTGCTGTGTTTGGTTAGCTTTCTTAACATTGTCTCAATCCAACTAAATTTTTTTGTCACTGATGGAACAGATAGCAGTGTGCACAGAAAGGCCAGCGATGCACAACAGCAGGTAATATTTGTTGAAATTTTTTTGTGCAATCTATCTTTGTTCCCTCCTGCCATCTTGGCATCATTTCTGACTTGTCAGGAGTGGCTGCACCATGTCATGTCATTATATCTAAACACCTTCATTATAAATACACAATCCCTGAATACTTTGGATACATCCTGGACGGAGGCAGCAAAAACCATCGAGATTTCACCGACATATTTAAGGATATACATACACACACGTGACCCACAGTGCATGTACAGTATGTTAGATCCCATCATTATGTAAAAGTGGCTGTAGCTCTTTCACTTTTAACATTTTCCCGATTTGATAACAGTGAGTCCGCTGCAGCACGTCAATGATGTAACGTCATCATTGAGATTGATTTCCCCAACTGCTGTGATTAACTGGGGCACCATTTCTATTGAAGCAGAGTCGACTATTTGAAATGCAGAAATCAACCTTTTCTATAGTTGTGACTGCATCCTATCAGATAACTTCACATAGACATCTATGTGGTTACATAATCAAATAGCTCACGCAGCCAGAGGGCAAATGACAAAGTTGTATTCTGACATTGGAACCGCCTAAAATCAGAGGCCAGTCGGAAGGTGACATGAAAGCAAGGAAAGGGCGCCATTTTCTTTCCACAAGCTCCCCCGGCTGGATGCAGACAGACAGAGGATGCTCCCTCTCCCCTCCGAGCATTTTCTCTACAAGGTACCATCGCGGTAGAGCAGATAGGGCTGACGTAATCAAGATGGGTGTGCCCTGGTCACCATGGCGACAGTCTGTCAGTGCTGGCTGGATACTCATCGCATACAATAAAAGCCATCATACGCCATGTAAAATCAGCACCATTCCACGCTTTCTAAATATTAGATGTCTTGCATGTCCACAAGAGCAGCATTCCTCTATGTATGCAAGTTATTCTCATCACTCCTCCATGCTCCTCCCTGTTTTGTCCCCGCACATGTAACACAATTGATTGTGCCATCTGGGTGTGTCTGTGGAAAAGGGAGCGAGGTGATCTTGTTCTATTCCCCAACATTTCACTGATACAGTGACTAAGGCACATACACAAGACACGCTCAAGAATACACATTTAAAGACATTTGAGATAGAGGTACATCCAAGTTAGACCCATAACATCTACGCATGCACGCACAACACAAATCCAAGCAAGTACCCTGGCCCTTCCAGCCGCTCCAGGAGCTTTCCTTCTTCGTCACGTCTGCAGTGGTCTGCATGCTGGTGATCGGTTTATCCCTGTTCTTTCGCTTGCTCTCTCTAAAAAAAAAAAAAATCCTTGTCTTCTTTGTGCACCTCTTCTGTCGCTCGTGCTCATGCGCTCATCGCCAAGAATGCATGAATGGTTGAAAAAAAAATGATGTAGGCGCGTGGCACAGATAACAGTGAGGGAGGGAGTATTGGGGAGGGGGGAGCGAGGATGGATGGAGAGGCTTCCTAGATGCTGCGGGCTGGCGGAGCTCACACTGATGCTGTGGATCGTCAAATGTGTGTGTTTGTTGGTTGGAAAAGGGGGGAGGGGTGCAAATTGTAAACATCACAGTTGCTGCTGCAGCAAAGCAGCCATGCGATGATTAGTAGCCAACGGGGACGACGGGGTCGGGAGGCTTTTGTCTTGAAAGGAGTGGTAGTTTAGCTTTTCATAACTAAAGCCTAACCAGTGCCGCCAACTGACTGTGGGAGGCAAAGCAGGCTGATCCATCATCAGACAGTAACATCGACTTTTAAGTTTTAGTTTGTCCAGTAGTTCTGTTTACGTTGTCATACCAATTCTTCCCAATTAAACAAATGGATTAAAAAAACCTCATGTAGATTGGGGCACTAAGTCAAGGGTGTACTTGTACTTTCCAACAATTATAGTAAATGTATAATGTTAATATATTTAAGATTATTATTGTCTTTGAAGGTTGAAGATCACTGATCCCGCCGAGGATGACAGACCACTTTTGCTGATCGTATTTATGGTTGCGCTGAGCTATTATAATTGCCAGTTTCCACTATGACTCACTGAGTGCTTCTACTTTAATAATACATATGGCGACGCATGCATTGTGCATGCGAGCTTAAGCACAATACTCCTTGATTATTGCCTCGAGGAGGTGTCTGTGTTACTGACTTTCTCTCGCCGAATGAGTGTAACTGCAAATGCAAAAAGAACAACACCAGTGTACCCGAAAACAAGCGAAACTGCACAGTCACCATGATGTCAGCAGTGAGAGAAAAACATTACTTGATGGAGACTAGGTAATTCTCAAAGAACCCACCCCTGCAGGCGGCCACACCTCACACCTTCTGTTCACTGCAGCCTCCACACTGCCAACACCCACTATCAAGTAGAAAGGGGAAAAAAAAACTGATTCTCTGAGCCAGACAGAAGGAACGTGCTCCCCATCAGTGTTTCCATGGAAACTGGGGTTGAAGCACCAGCCTCCCCGATGTCGAACAAGGACTCATTGCGCCTCCTAGTGGTGTACAACAAGTCGAACAAGGACTCATTGCGCCTCCTAGTGGTGTACAAACAGACGTGACCTGTTTTTTTTTGTATGTTTTGTTTTGTGCAGTATTTCCAGAACCTTCTCACAGTAAATAAGAATGAGCTATATAAGAAGGAATAACCTTGAATTGGCCCTTCATGTATTGTTAGCGCTCATTCCTGACACATATTCACCATTTGTTTGAAGATGATGCATCCAAATAAAACATTTCCTTCACCGTTAAACAATATAAAGTGCAAATGGAATCCCTCAAGGCACCTTAAATCTGCTCCTCTTTTCAGATCCTCAGATTATGTAAACAGGGAGAGAGAGAGAATGACCACGAGCAGGCAACACACACATTGTACTGTTCAACGCGGTCTAACGAATGAACTCCTTTTCACTCTAGCTGCCATTTCTGTTTTACTTAATCCCAGGATTTAAAATAGCCACACAAACAAGGATCCAGACGCTGCTCAATGTACCATCGCTACAAGTCTAAATTACACTTGATGCAGTCTAACAGCCACATTACTGGTTTAGTAGTCTGACAAGTACAGTTTGATATCTTCTCTCTTTTTTTTTTTTTTTTTTTTTTTTTTTGCATGTCAAGCTGTGAATTGATGCAATGCCACTCTGCTTTTTCTCTTTTACATTCACCACTAGAGGGAAGCAGACTCACAACAGGGACTTCACACACTTGGCACAGACGAGGAGAGCATCTGGGTAAGCTTGTACCTCTGTCAACAAACCTGTTTAATTTGTGGCCTTTTTTAACAAAACAACACAACAACACACCATGCAGCAGCTTGCACTAGACAAACCAAGTCAGGGAAAATGTTCCTTGTACTAACAGGGCTGTTTAAATGGCTGTCTATTTGACTGAAAAACTGATCAACTTTCTATCAAGGTGGAGGTTTTTGAAAATATGGTTGATTAGGCATGCATGCTAAAAACACTCGTTGTGTTCTGTTTTTATATATGTCCAATACATATAAAAATAAATTCACTGCATTTTGGCATTACATTTAAGCTGAGTCATGTCTGTACATTCAATTGTTTCGTTCAAAGAAAGAGAAAAATTTTGCTTCTCCTAAATTTTTCAAAAGATTTTCCTGCAACAACCTTTGCAAGCAGTTTCATGCTTCAAATTGTTTTGTTTTGTTTTTCTTGAGAGAGGCAGGTTTTTTTAATAGCTTCAAGTGAGAAGCTGCTTAGTTTTATTGTCAACAATCACTTCATCAATGACAGCAAGTTTTTTATGACTCGGTAAATGGTCTCTTCTGTCTGGTTAGCATCCATGCTCCATGCAAAAATACTATGGTGGTTGTCTCCTTCACTGTACAAGAGCGACCAATGGGCATCTGACTCAGTTGAAGACGCAAACAGGCTTTTGCGGTTTACTTCCCCAATCTTGCAAGCTCTCAGGAAAAGTGTGTAGACCATTGGTATGAAAAAGGTGGTTTGAAACAAATTTCTAACAACATTCATTCTGGGTAGCTAATCCTCCATCTTGTGGCATATTCGCAAAATTGAAGCCACCGTGACTATGACAAAAAAATTGCTTTGGTAAATTACAACACAGCAAAGAGAAAGTAAGGTTTGAGGTTCAAGATGAAGAAGAAATACAGAATAATCATACTCACCTTTTTGTTTGTTCAAACCTTCCAGTAGGAAGGCAGCAGCCGATTTCCCAAGATCCACTTTGCCTTCGTTGAGCTTCTTGTCCTCCAGATTGAACTTGTCCAGACGCACCTCTGGGGGCACAGTAGCAGTTGGAGGCTTGGGCTTGCTCAGGCGCTCCTCTTCGGCGTTGACCTTCTCCATGGGCGAGGGCTCGGCTGACGAAGCTTGAGGCGTGCTGCGGGCAATAGGTACACTGGGAACCAAGGGAGAGGGAGGGCCAGGTCCCACATTAGGGCCTCCGACACCTTGCTCTCTTTTGGGACTTTCTTCCGATGCGGACTCAATGAAGAGGTCGCTGTCGAGCTCCGCCTCTCTCTCCTCACGCAGAATGCTGTAGGCTGCAGGTGGGGCATGGTTGCCAGCCAGCCCGATACCAACCTTGGAAACAACTGGGGGGCTGTCAAAGGGGCTGCTGGACTGATTGAAGGTGCCCTTACTTTTGGGTGGCTCGGCAAACGGGTTGCTACTGGCCTTGGGGGGCTCCTCGGACACCAGCTCAATCTCGGAGTCTCCAGACTCTGCACTGCTGCCATCTTGGTCTCTGCTCCCAAATTGTGGGCCTGGACTATATTTGGGAGCTGCAGACTTAACTTCGTCAGCCTTGAACACATCATGGGAAGGGAAATCTCTCTCTGGGAAAAAGGAAATAAATCATAATTTACCAATTTAGTCAAATGTAGTCATAAAATACTGCAAATCTTTTTTTCATTTGAAGTAAACTATTTTTCGTGGAGCAAAAAACATAATGTGGAAGTTTGGAGGCCAGATTAGACTGAAACATGTCACCTTTTGCCCACCATTACGGTTTATGAACAGAATGATTGAAACACTTGGTCATTGTCAACAACAGGAACAAACAATTTTTCAGATATAAAAATTTCCCATCTTGATGGACGACTTTCTACATTTACTGAGTGTGTTTTGTTCATGTAATAGAACATTTGTGTGGTCAGAGGTCCTGAGAAGGTCTTTATCGCAATCTGTTCTACCAAAAGGTATTACTATGTTTTCTTCCACACCAAAGTCATCCAAGTACTTCATGATGAATGTTGCTTTGTGCATTGGTGAACAGACAAACTGGGACGCATTCCTGGACTTGTCCGTTTTGTGACCAACGATCAATTTAACATTTGTGCGCTGTGCTTACGTGTAGGTGAAGCGTTGGGAGTGGAGGTGGGGCTCTCATCCTCCGGTTCTGACAGAGTCACAGTGGGGACGCCCTGCAGGCCCACACTGAGCACATTTTCACGGTCACACCCAGTGGCTGGAGGGGGACGCTGCTGAGGTTCGGCCTTGGATGCCGGAGCCTGCGACTCGGTCAGGGTGATCTTCACAGGGCTGGCTGACTGTGGTGTGCCTCCGAGGTTCCGGTAGGAGCGGTAGTCTGGCAGCTCCTCATCAGAGGGCTCCTCCACGTAGGGGAAGGAGTGGGAGCCTAGGGCTGGACCTAGATTCTCATCTTCATCCTCGTCTTCTATCCCAGGGTTCTTATCAATGTAGCTACCCAGTGAGTCACGACTGGTCAACCCTGTGTCCACCAGGCTGTGCAGCGCTCCCTGCTGTTGATCATGGTGATCATCCCCATGGCTTATGTCCATGTAGTTGTAGGATTCTGTCTTTTCTAAGCCCATCAGGGACTTGGGCATGTCGTTGGACAGGTCAGACAGGGTCTTGGTGCTGGAGCTGAAGTCATACGGGTCAGTGGAGAAGTGGTCCAGGCCGGGGGATGCAGAGGAAGCTTCCACGCTGTCAGACAGGTAGGAAGATTCTTGACCTGATGTAAAGCTCTGATTGGACAGCAAGGAGGTGTACACGTCACCATCATCATTCATAGGCTTCCTAAATAGGCCTGTCATTGGGTCACCTTTGTGTCCAACGTGAACATGTGGGAGAAAAAGAAGTGAATATATTGTAATTAGAGTTAGAGCGACTAAAATGAAGATGGCAAAAAAAGACAAATCTGACAGCACTCTATGTCACATGGTTCTTAATGTCATAATGCGCTCTCGTCAGGCTGGATGCACGGAGCCACGCTTTTGCAGCCCAGCGAGGCGGCACTAACAGAGGCTACTTGTGCCCATGCAGTAGACAAAGGCAGATTGTTCAACCACCAGAACCCAGAGCCACAACCAGGGTCTGTTCTAAATCATGCCGCATCTCTCTGCCACAAAAATAAGTGTGTGTACACTGGCTACTAGCCTCCCAAAAGTTGTGTACCTGATAAGTGAGGGTAAGAATGTACAAAACTCTTTGAAAGACTTAAAAATCGATGCCGGAAATGCCAAGTGTTCCGAGGTCTCTGTATTTTGTTATGAGTAGTTGCCATGTGTTCCACAGTTAAGAATGAGTCAAAGATGTTTTCTGGAGAGGAAATTTTGCACGCCAAGTTTACTACTTTGGCCCATTAAGATTGTGTTCAAAATTAGAAAATATTCATCATGTTCCTGAGATGTGATGATAAGGTGTTGGCATCTCTCCAAATCAACTGTCAGAAATGGAAAAGAAGACTGGTATCCTGATTGTATCTTTTACAAAAATAAATGTGTATATTTATGTCCCTAAACAGTATAGGTCATATATCAACAGTACTAAAGCAATACATCTCTGGGTACCACTCCACTGACAAGTCACTGTATCCCTTCATGGTCAGTGGGGTTCTTTTTGCATCTACCGTGAATTGATGTTGATTAGTGTTCGCATCCAGGCAGGTGACACACACACAATCCTTCCACCAAGACTTCTTTGTACATGTGCTTAACAATTAGAATTGTTAAAATGTTCCATTGAAAACCATTGTTTATACTTGGTAAAGGTGTCATGATGTGACAGTTTGACAGTTTTTTTTTCTGATGTTTTGAAATGCTTCAGGTGTTCAGAAAGTGACGGTGCACTTAGTTTGTTTTATTAACATATATGTTTGGATAAAATTCAATGCCTCCTGTATTCTATCATGTAGGTGCACAGTGACTTTCCCTATGACCCTGTATTATGTCCAATTCTTAATTGGTTATGCATAGGAACAACAGGCACTAGCCATGCTCATAGCGTATACAAACCCACACCCACACATAATACTAATATTTGTGTTGTCCTGTGCACAATTCTCAATGGCCCCTCCTTCTGTCCTCTAGCCCCTATTTCTTCCCGTGCAGGGGTGGCACTATAAATAGCCTGGCTCCAGCTGCTGGGCTTGGATGAGGGGGGAAAAGATTTAAAACTGTAGCCTCTGGGTGCGCACTGAAGGAAGGATGGAGACTGAAATGACATAGGAGACAACAATTCAAGACGTCCCTCCTTTTGCTTCCTCTCCAAAAGCCTCCCCACCCTTCCTTTCTTCCTTTGTCATGAACAATCCACCACGGCGCGTGCAGCACAGTCATAAGTCACACTATAGGTGCCCAAGCTAAGACCCAAAGGAGGCAATAGAGAATAGACAGTATCATCCCAGTATGAGACAATTACACAACTTTCGATCAAAAGTCGACCATGGTCATCTTTTCCTGCACAATTATAGATACCACTCTCTTGACTCCCATTAACTGCGTTAATGTACATAAATGTTGTGTCTGGTCATTGTAAACTTGATGCCGTTTGTTCAAATTTAGCCCAGTGGCATGAACACGCTCGATATGATGCTAAAGTGAATCAACACATAATCCTCTTTATTCCGGTACTAGCGTATAGATCCCCTCAGCCATCACCCTGGCAACGCCTTCATAATCCAGCAATCACTGATTCAAAACACTGACAAATTCCTCCTCCTCCTTGTTGGCAGATGTGGGAAGCACTTGGAGCCACTACACTGCGAGAAGAGACGTGATGTGTGATGCTCTGAACGGCCACAGATCTAAGTCAGGACAAACTGGGGGTAAGACACGCACCTCCTCCCCCTCTGCTGTTCGCGACACCTAGCACAACAGCTCAGCGGGTGTTGCATAAGTGATCTGCATCAGTGACGAGGTAGAATGTTGGTCTTCACCGGCCATGAGGACAGCAGCTCTGTGCTGTTAGTTGACAAATTTGCAGTGTTGAGTCTGGGAGCATTTTTGGTCTGTAGGGACCCACAAGGCTCTGACAAAAGCTTTGCCACACTCACATGGGATTAGAAGCGACAACAGAGGAATTCTCAAACCGATGCCAACACAATTATGTCACTGAAAGGACGGCTGGGTGAGATAAAATAAAAAACAAAGTCCTGGCGGATGCTTGGTGAAGGGGCTTTTGTCGTCCTGAATTGAATGCGGCCTGACAATCTGTGCTAGGTCATACTCAGGCATCTCATATGCAAAGTAGAGATCATAGCAAAAGTCCCCTGTTTTAAATTTAATGCAGGGGAACTTTTCAACATGACCCCAAATTTCCCCACAGGGTTTTAACTTTCAAAAGAGCAGTAAGTGTGCTGCTCAGGGACGATTCAATTACTCCTTCTCAACTATGGTGTTGGCTTTCAGCAGTTTGATTTCACTCAACGACCTTGTGGAAAGTAATCTATCCAGCTCCTGTTCAATCTCATGAAGGCTATCAGCTAATATGCCAGGAATTTGTTACTCTGTTTACATGGCTTTCAATGAAAAATGTAGAAAATGTGTCATTTTGGCATTCAAACCTTTGAAATTCAACCTCAAATGCCACTGCGCGAGCCCCCGTTCAACAAAGTTCTATTCACCACTCATGCTCTTCTATTGACAAAAGCAAGCACTATTTCCAGTACCTGGTCAACCACCCTGCCAAGTGCAAAGATGTAATCCAGTACAGTACAGTACAATACAGACCACCTCATGGTCAATGAGATGACCTTAGTTGATGATGTTGCTGAACTGTGCTGTGTAGGGTTCAGTCACAGCTCACCTGTTTTCTGAACCTGAGCCGCGATTGGTCATTACCCGAGCCCTGAGCAACTGTGATGTCATTTTTTGTCGACGGCAAGTGGCAAAATGGCCAACCCTTGAGATGGACAAAAATGGGTGGATTTTGCTGCTTAACTCATATGCTACAAACACAATATTAATCAAAACGCTGTGTTTAGACTGTGGGCTGTATGTGACATATTGTAAATTGCATTTCTAATTTGGCTTCTCCTTAAAACAAGTTTTAACACTTAACAGTCAAAGAAAATCATACAGTAAAAATAGGACAAGATGAGCCATGATGTGATTGTGCCAGGAGGTGATTGAGTATAGGATTCCCATACAGTCATCGTGTTATTTGTAATTATTTCTCGTTTAGCGTGATGTGACCACTTACTATCCCGAATAAATGTCTATTGAAGGAACAGAAAATGGCGATGACAAAGGTGGTATAACAGGGAGAGCAAGTACATGCAAAAAGGACTTGTAGAGGTCAATAAGGGGGGGAGAAAAAAAACAATGCTTAAAATCATGGACTGCTCTGAGTTGTATCGATTCAAAACAATAGAAGCATACAATTATCGCAAGAAGCAACATTGCAGGCCGCACAAGTGTTATTATTCCGTTGGCTTAAGGTAAATCAATGATGAGGCAGTTTGAATAAAAGCTATTTGGAGTCTGTGGCTGTGATGCTATATTGATTTTTTTGGGTGGTGGTGGTGGCGGGGCGAGGGTGTAGGAGACTGTCTGCTCCAAGCTGTCAATTTAGTGTTGCTTATGATTTCGCTTGCATCACAAAGTAAAATATGGATAAAAGTGGACAGATTCCTGCATTCGCTGAAATAACCACCATGATGAGCAATGCAGATGTAGTTTTGTGTGCAATAATCAATCTAATCCCATGAAAAGTGTTGCACTACGCTGCTCTGGGATCGTATATTGGCCACCGGAATGAGAGATGATGGACACAGACAGAAGTGTCGTATTTCACATCCTGGCTCTTAACCATTCTTGGAGTAAACACAAGGGACAGTAGCACATCCAATAGTCAGACAAGGATTTACTGACATAAACAAAGCAACGATACTCTCTTATTGTCCGCCGCAAGAGTAAACTGTACAGAAACAAAGTGATTGAAATCTATGTCAATCTTAAAAAGGTTACCAATCCATTTCCAAGGCTTAGGGACTCCAGTGAAGCATGGTCACAATACTTTCACACATGGAGACAACTGGGTGGTGGTCCATTTTAGGAGTGGTCAGCCAGAATTGCAGAAATATTCTGGTGATTGACAAGACCAAAGTAACTTTATGGAAGTTGTGCTGCCCATCACATCTGGCATAATAGAACACAGCATGATGCTTTTTTTTTTTTTTTTTTTTTTTTAACAGCACTATTTACGCATTGCACAGGCTTTTAAAGACAAGGTTAGAATAGTTTGGACAATGAAGACCAATAACAACTCTCAGTCAGGAAGTTGACTTAAGTTGTAAAAGTAGTCTTTGATTTTACTACACAAAAAAGTGTTATTTTTTTCAACGATTCCCCCGAGCCACTTCATTTGTACATGGCCATATCCTAACACCAACTATTCAACAAACTTCAAGTCTGTTTTTAAGCAGTGCGAAATGGATGATTTGAATTATCTTGCTAAATGCTTGCATCACTCACCAAATTCCCACCCCACCTGACGACTTGCACTGTTCTTTGTTTCATCTTCAAAACAAAGATTGAGGAGACCTTACACTGTCCCCCTTGGGAGCATGAGCCAAGCTCTTGAAGTACAGCTAAAAAGCACAGTGTTGGCTCATGTGAGACCACTAAGTGCTTTGTGTACCCGGTACATACAGAAAGGAGCCAGAAAGACGTGCAACAGCCTCACCTTTGTTGTCCCTGTTGGCATGCTGACACCAATGTCTGATTCATTAAGTCGGCTGATGTGTTGTGTATTTTATAGTTGATACAGAGCAATAGTTATACTGTGTCATTTTTGTCGCGGGCCACATTGTAGCTACGGTTTCCCTTGGAGAGCCGTTATGACTGTGAATTTTGTAAAACCACATAAATGTTTAATCACCTCCACGTGACATACGCAGCGAACAACAAATTGATGGATACCTAGTTTTGAAATCAGAAGACAAGAATAATGACTTGCTTAAACATAGTGTACGTGAATGTAATAAGGTATTTGGAAACGAGAAAAAGCTTGCAATATCTCTACGTTATTATGAATTACATATGACAATTTTAAATTTTGGTTCAGACTTTAGCAAGCGTCATGGAAGTTGACATGCTTGATTTGCTTTCACGGCCCACATAAAATGATGTAGCGGGCCAGATCTGGCCCCCGGGCCTTGACTTTGACACCTGTGGTGTAATATATATGCACAGTCTCGCAAATATTACTCAGAGTCCTGTTTGAGCATGACTGTAATTTTCTGTTTGTGTTTTCCTCAGCCTGTGTCTCTTACGCCTGACGCTGTCAGCCGTCAGTACTAGAAATATGATCCAAGACCAAGGGATTGTAGACTGAGCCCTATGAACCCTGCCTCGGAACATCCATTTTCTGATCCGCTTATCCTCACAAGGGTCGCAGGGCGTGCTGGAGCCTATCCCAGCTGTCTTCTGGCAGTAGGCAGGGTACACCCTGAACTGGTTGCCTGCCAATCGCAGGGCACACATAGACGAAC